GATCTTGACCCCAGAGGAGAGGTCAAGAAGATAATCAATTGATCTTTCTTTTCCCATAGGCAGTGTTTTTCTTTGTCAGTCTTATTTTTTGGAAAAGTAAAATTAATATGTTCCACCTGAACACAAACATCATTCTCCTCCACCCGATGCAGGAAGAGATCTGGGTCAAAAAGTAAAGACTACTGTTTTGTGCTTGATTAAAAGAGACCATATGACCGAATCATGATTCAGTTTTCACTGATTACACAAAGAACCCTCCTGTCTGTGTGCTCCCCTCACTTAAACACTACCAGTCTATGTCAGTACTTGTAAACCGGCTACTTTCTCAAACATCTCAGCAATGTCCCAATTAATCCTCAGTGTCTTGGTCCTACATTCAGTTCGATATATAAGACGACATAGATCTGCAGTTCTAACCGATTAACACTCGATGGGGATAAATGGTCATCATTAAAAGACATTGATTGTTTTAAATTTCGTAATAATGCAGATACCACTGAAATAAGTATCTGAAAGTTGAACGGTAAGCAGAGTACCTGCTTTTGACCATATGTGGCCATCCATTGTTCTCATTTAGTTTCCTTCCCCCTGAGTAGGCTGCCTCTTCATCTGATTTGCTGGCTGTGGGTAAAAAAGGTGCTTTACAGTGTACAGTCTGAGTCTGTTGGGAACATGCTGCTGACTCAGCCTGGGCCACTGCATTCATCTATCTGCACTGCAGTGCTCTCCCCTTCTCTCTCTGCTTACCCCCTTTACACCGCTCCCTCATTCAGATCTCCACACAACACGAGGAGGGGAGAAACACCCATGCGCACACACCTTCCATCTTAGCCTTAAGACACACCCAACCACATAAAGCAACTGGACCTTACAAAAGTATCAGATTTTGTTGTCTGTAGAAAAAAAAAAAAAAAATTCTGTATTGATCTACTCAAACCCACATTCTTGTTGTTAATGTAACAAGAATAACGTTCTTTTTTTTGTTGAAGAACCTGAAGAAGAGGATGTCCATTGTGTTTGACCTCTAAAACTAAAAACTCAGTAGATCCATCTTTGGCTGCAAACGCAGCCCCAAGTCTATGTACAATGCTCTATTAAGCTTGTCCTTTTCATGAACTGTAAGCTTATAACCACAAACAGGCTTAAATTGGAGAGCAACCAGACTTTTGCTCAGTTTTTGAAGACGTTTTGAAATTTTTCCAGGAGTCTTGGTCAATTTTGTTGGCTTGTACCAGAGCAAACTGTAGTTGGAGCTCTGCTATATTTAAAGAGCACCTCTTCCACACATTCCAAAATCAGATGCAAATCAAATAGCCACTCATTGTTCTTCTGGATTGTAAGCTTATGCTTCTGACCAACATAGCTTTAGCTCAGTCAGATAAGTTGCACGACTTCTAGGAACATCAAATTTCAAGTTTTGCCAAAGGTTTTCAACTTATATTAGGCCCTCGACCTCGATTGGGAGCTTTTGGTTTGACCTAGACTTTTTAGTTTATCGTCTTTTGGTTTCCTTTGTAATCATTACACTTCTTGACATGCTGACAGTTTAGGCTTCCAGTTTTCATGATCTCTTCAAAAAGTTTGATGTCACAGACCAATATATTGAACAAGGAATGAGAGAAGTATATATAGAACTTCTTTAAATACAAAGTTCAGAGCAAGGGATTTTTTTTTTATCATAATGCGGTTCTGTTTTAAGCTGCTTCACAGTTTTACCCCTGACCTGTCTGCTGTGTTCTTTGTTTCTCATGATGCTGTTTGTTCATTTATATACATCTGACTTATTTACTGTACAAATGGATGTATACTGATTCATTTATATAATTTTTACTGGAGATGGTTTAGCAGCTTCAGAATAATGGGGCAAATACAAACACTTGCTTCAAATCCTGCTGGGAACTTCCTTTTCAATCAACGGCCTAATTTTGCCCAACTTTTGGTTGATCCACCATAGAAAACACAAAACATTGGATTCTCTGGTCGTAATATAGAACATTAGATTCATGGCGTATAAAGAATTTACATTTTGCTTCTAATTCTGGGCCAAACAAAGACAACAAAATGAAAGAGAGAAAAAAAAAAACGTTAAAACTTTTAAAAAAACATTTGAAAAAAAAAAACGACACATACTACAGCGATAACTGGAAGGCTGCTTTTATTGTTTGGAAATAGATTCGTGCTCAAATGAAGACATTCTTTCATTGAATTCTCACTTAATTGTCCAATGTGGTGTGCAACATATGCCCTCTTTCTTGACTGTAATAGTGAAAAGAAATGACAGTCAAAAGCTGTTTTGCTTTTTTCTTTTTAGTGAAGCTATTTTCAAAGAGAAGAAATTCATCTCAGTCATGCTACAAAACAATGGCCTCATATCATGATCGATAAACCAACGTCTGAAAAGAAAATGAGAACAGAAGTGTAAAACAGAAGGCAAGCTGTTTTCTTACTGGCGGACAAGCCAGCAAAACAACAAAACACAGAGAAAGAGAGCACTTCCTACAAGACTCTAAACAATGTTAGTCCAGACAGTCTAACCTATAGGTGGTGAGTTATCAGTTCGCTTCAACCTCAATATGTTGACGTGCTCCGATTTTGATCCGCTCAGAGGGATTTGAGATCTTTGTTGCAGGTTTTTATTGATAGAAAGCTAAAAAGGCACGTGCCGTTAAGAGATATTGCACCATAAACAAACATACAGACAGTTAAGACAACTAATCCTTAAATCTTTAGATATATCTTATTAAAAGTGTTGGCAAAATCAAAAGATCAACTTTAAGCTGCAGCAAATGTGTTAACATTAAAGGTTGGGGGAATACATGAAGGGTTAAGGGGCTGCAGCAAGCAATTGAAGTGTTCTGGTTAACAGCAATTGCCTGAAAAAAGGCAGAAATGAAGGTGCATGTTTATGTGTATGCCACTTTGCATCGGTGTATACAAAGCATGGGAAACAATAGGGGCAAGACATCTTCACATACACTATATTGCCAAAAGTATTTGCTCACCTGCCTTGACTCACATATGAGCTTAAGTGACATCCCGTTCCTAATCCATAGGGTTCAATATGACATCGGTCCACCCTTTGCAGCTAGAACAGCTTCAACTCTTCTGGGAAGGCTGTCCACAAGGTTTAGGAGTGTGTTTATGGGAATTTTTGACCATTCTTCCAGAAGCGCATTTGTGAGGTTGCACACTGATGTTGGACGAGAAGGCCTGGCTCTCAGTCTCCGCTCTAATTCATCCCAAAGGTGTTCTATCGGGTTGAGGTCAGGACTCTGTGCAGGCCAGTCAAGTTCATCCACACCAGACTCTGTCATCCATGTCTTTATGGACCTTGCTTTGTGCACTGGTGCACAGTCATGTTGGAAGAGGAAGGGGCCAGCTCCAAACTGTTCCCACAAAGTTGGGAGCATGGAATTGTCCAAAATGTCTTGGTATGCTGAAGCATTCAGAGTTCCTTTCACTGGAACTAAGGGGCCAAGCCCAGCTCCTGAAAAACAACCCCACACCATAATCCCCCCTCCACCAAACTTTACACTTGGCACAATGCAGTCAGACAAGTACCGTTCTCCTGGCAACCGCCAAACCCAGACCCGTCCATCAGATTGCCAGATGGAGAAGCGCGATTCGTCACTCCAGAGAACGCGTCTCCACTGCTCTAGAGTCCAGTGGCGGCGTGCTTTACACCACCGCATCCGACGCTTTGCATTGCACTTGGTGATGTATGGCTTGGATGCAGCTGCTCGACCATGGAAACCCATTCCATGAAGCTCTCTGCGCACTGTTCTTGAGCTACATGAAGTTTGGAGGTCTGTAGTGATTGACTCTGCAGAAAGTTGGCGACCTCTTCGCACTATGCGCTTCAGCATCCGCTGACCCCGCTCCGTCAGTTTACGTGGCCTACCACTTCGTGGCTGAGTTGCTGTCGTTCCCAAACACTTCCATTTTCTTATAATACAGCTGACAGTTGACTGTGGAATATTTAGGAGCGAGGAAATTTCACGACTGGATTTGTTGCACAGGTGGCATCCTATCACAGTTCCACGCTGGAATTCACTGAGCTCCTGAGAGCGACCCATTCTTTCACAAATGTTTGTAAAAACAGTCTGCATGCCTAGGTGCTTGAATTTATACACCTGTGGCCATGGAAGTGATTGGAACACCTGATTCCAATAATTTGGATGGGTGAGCAAATACTTTTGGCAATATAGTGTATCTACAAAAAAGAGAGAAGGGGGAAGGAGGGGTTAATGGGGGTTGGTATGCTGGTTGTGCAATCTTCTCACCAAGGCAGGCTCCAAAATTCTCAGCAAGCAGCCAGTACAACATCATGCATTGTAGGCCAATACTCGATACTGGGGAAAGTCCCGGGCAGGCCAGACTTTAGATTATTCTCTGAGTGTACCACACAAAGAAAGCTCAGTGGATTTGGTGTCACCTCAATGCCAGTGGACAGGAGAGTTGAGTTACGGACATGGTTCTAACCTCATTATATATATATATATATAAATATATATATATATATATATATATATATATATATATATATATATATATATATATATATATATATATATATATATATATATATATATATATATATATATATATATATATATATATAGGTATAAAAGAATATATAATATATATGTAACGCAGCTCTGAATATGTGTGTATTGATTTATACAGCTTTACACAATTTTCTGCTTTTATTATAGAATCTTTTCACTTATGTCTTATTTCCCTCTTTATTATGAAAAAAGACACAAAAAATCTACACCTCCTAACAAAGCATTTCAGCCTAACAACAGTGACAAAGAGGCATCAGCTGGAAGCCATTCTATTTATGGTTATTATTATTTAGTGTTAAAGAAATAGCTGTAGTTTTTTTCTTTATGGTAATCTTTTATTTACAAAAAAACTACACATGCTCTTAAAATAATATATTACATTATTTATAGGTCATTAAAAAAAGAAAAAGATAGCTTTTGCAGTTTGTGCCCTATAGAGCATAGCCTGAATGTATATATTCATGACAATTTATTCTTTTTTTTTTCCCTCAAGAGAGAAATCTTGGAGATGTTGGAGAAAATGCATGGTGATAGCTTTTATGTGTGTCATCCAGATTTTTATTTGGTTCAAGTTGATACCTAGACCGATTCTGGAGACTTCATGCAGCTGGCGGGTGGGATAAAACGGATGAGGGGGATTATCCATAAACAAGGAAGTGACATCACTGCACAACAGAAGGTGCAAATGCTCTAGGTTGTGGTGCTCAGGTTCACAGTACCATAAGAAGAGATGCATCCGGTTCTCTGTCGGTTATTTGGTATGTTGTTGTTTTTTTATACAGTTACCGAACATGAAGGAAAATAAGAAGCTCAAAACTTGCTAAAATTTGGGACTTTTTGATTACTGTCTTTGTGCTACTAAAAAATCAACTAATCCCATTTCACCCTTGTGACATCTCCGTCTCTCATGGCCTGTGTTTGCAGTAAGTTTGAACTTCTTGTTTTTAACTTTCAATATACATTAAAATGGCTACAAATATAAATACTGCACTAGTTACAAGCAAGTTATGTCGCCTCCTCACACAGGACCTCTAGCCTTATATTTCCAATGCTTTAGAAGCAGGAAGTAATAAACTAACTCTGACCGGCATGACCGACACAAAACAAAAATGATCAAACATGATTTCATATATAATGATACTCCCACCACATTCAATTGCATTTTGTTGCAGAGCTCTTAATAATACATCTATAATATCTCCTGAGAAAAAGGGAAGAATTTTTCAAGCATTGCATACATTTCTAGGGTCTCTCTGTCTGATAACGACAGCAAAAAAAAAAAAAAAAAGAAAAGAATGGGCAGTCCCACTCCTTTAGTAAAGGACAACAAGGAATTACAAGGCAGATCTCTTTGGCTTCTCCACACACAATGTTCTCATCACCCATTTAGAAGTTTACCTCTCTCACTTTGACCATTCCAAACATACCTTTTAAGCACAAAACTGCTTCCCTTTTGGCTTGATTCAGTTTATAAAACTGCCATATAAGCCTCATCAGACTCTGAAACATTAAAAATGACACAAGGGAAGAAAGCAAGCGTTTAAATTAGCAAATAAAACACTCTAAAAGAAAAAAAAAATCCAAACTGCTGAGCCCTTTTTTAAAAGTAAGAGACAAAGTAAGTATGAGAAAGGGGTTGGCCAAAACCCAAACCGCGGACTCCCGCTTATGTAAAAATAAAAGGACAATGATGCAAAACATTACAGGAACATACAAAGTACAAACATAAGCTTTTCAGGCTTCCTTAAAAAAACTCCGGTCCAAACAAACATTCCAGTCCATCAATCTACTTAGACATTTTTTTCTTTCACGTTACACTTCTACAATCTTCTGAGCAGCAAAGAAAGTGCTTGCATTTCACCCACTAAGGTGATGTTTCATTCTGGTTATAGACTGAAATTCTATAATGTGTCGAATGCTGAAATCTGATCAGCGTCAGCTGATCAACCCACACACTGCTTGTTTCACTGAGGAAATTACTTTCCAACTCTGGAACTTTGATCAAAAAAGAAATGCCTTAATGGTACAGATCTGCAAGCAACCAGTGAGGTCTGAATATTAGTGTCTTGTGGACTATGATAATTCATGCAAAATTTCTGATCAAAACATGCCATCATGCAAGTCATTTCTATGCATTGAACAAGCACAATAATTATGTATTTGTCTGAAAATCTTTCTGCGTATATGGAAGCCCTTGGCCCCAAGTTGAACCCCTGTCAATAAACAGACCCTTTTACCAATTCGGTGCAAAAAGCCAATGTAAAATAAAGCATTTTGTATGTGGGTGTAACAAAAATAATGCGAGTTGTTGATCGAAATAGGATAAATGAATATTGTTCTTTTTTTTTTTTTTTGTCGGTTTGTTCCTCGGTTTGCATTTTTGCTGCTAAAAAAAAAAAGAGGAAAAAAATAAAATAAAAAATCTACTTTTGATTAAACAGGAGAAAACACTTTAGGCTCTCTCAGTTTGTGTCTTTCTCTCACTCACCACATTATCCACTGTTCGCTCATAGAGTGAGTCTTTCATTTGTGTCTATACACACTGACACAGATCAACTTTGGCTGCTGAACGATTGAGCAGCCTCCTTGTTATCCATCCACTGCAGCTACACGGCGCTGGAATCCTGTTTTTGCCTTCCTCCTCCTGGTGTACAGTATAATTACATGGCAGAAATGTGGCCGATTTCTTCTTCTATCATCTTCCTTCTCCGTTTTGTTAGGATTGGTTGTGTTGATATAACAGTGCCACACAGAATGCTGATTATGTTTGGTTTGACTAAAGTTCAGTCATTCCCCGCTTTCCCCTGCATCAGTATAGGAATGAAGTCTGTAAACAAAATTATTGAGTACTATTTTTCTGACTTGCAAATGAAATAATCTGTACATCAGTGTGGGTGAGAACTCTCTCACTCGGCTTGAAGTTACATTAGTTTAATCGGTACTGTTATTAGTGTGGTTATTTATCCCCCTCCCCCCGCTTAACACTGAGACTCCCTGATGTCTTTTTGGTTTCTGCCTTTCTCTTTTCTTTCTCCCCTGCCCTCATTGTTGTCATCCTGTTTCTCCTTTTCAGGTTTGGTAACACTGTCATAAGAAGGCAGGGAGGCAGTGGATGGAGTGCCCTCCTTCTTTTCTTGATCCTGATTCTCGGCTTTGTTGTTTGCCGGTTTGCGTTTGCAGACAAATCCACGCCGGGACAGGTGGGAGCGGTAGGCCCGTTGGATGATCCTCGCTGACACGTCCTCCTGCTTTCGCCTCAGAGTGGTTGTAATTGGCTCGTAGGATACTTTAGAGGGATTGGCAGCCACAAAGCGCTCTTCCATTTGTTGCCTAAGCATGTCCAGTTCCCCGCTGTCGCCAAGCACCCGCTTGGTAAAGGCAAACAGGATGTCCAGGCAGTGAATACGGTCTCCACTCACCATAGGCATGTCCATTGCAATGAGCTCAATGGTGTTTGGCTTGGGGACACGCAGTGGGTGTTCAAGTGCATCTGCAAAGTCAGATAGCTTGGCATAGGTAATAAACTGGGAGGCATCGGGGTCAAACTTCTCCCAAATTTCATAAAAGGTCTCAAAGTCATCCTCACTGAGTGGGTCTGCGCTCTCCTCTGTGGCCACACTGAAGTTCTCAAGGATGATGGCAATGTACATGTTAACCACAATAAGGAAAGAAATGATGATATACATGACAAAGAAGAAGATGCCAACAGACGGGTTGCCACAGTCTCCAGTGGCAGGTGTGCCAGGGTTCTCCAGAAGCGGGTCGCAGTCCGGTGGGTAGTTGAGGATGGGCAGCAGAAGGCCGTCCCAGCCTGCCGACGTGGTGATCATAAACAAGATGATCATGCTATTTCCAAATGTCTCAAAGTTGTACATGTCATCGATTCCAGCCCCGTGTTTCACGTAGCCAAAGTTGGACATGCCAAAGATGGAGAAGATGAACATGACCAGGAAGAGTAAGAGGCCAATGTTGAACAAGGCAGGAAGTGACATCATGAGGGCAAACAGCAGAGTTCTTATTCCCTTGGCACCCTTGATGAGACGCAGAATTCTGCCAATACGAGCCAGACGGATCACCCTGAAGAGTGTTGGCGACACAAAGTACTTCTCGATCAGGTCAGCCAGAAACATACCTGAGGTAACAAGAAAATACCACACTTAGTAAAAGTGACGACATTGTTTAACATGATAACTACAGCTGTTTCAGACAGTGTTGCAGTTCTAATATATTAATAGATACATATGTTTTAAATGATTTACTTATCAAACGTAGCATGGACACTTTGCATTGATTGGTAAAGTTATACGATAAAATTATGAAAATAAAGTTTATATAAAGATAAAATATAATAAAACACTGTCAGATTTACAGCAGATTTATGGTCTAAACGGCTGAAATTATCTCCACCAGCTCCTCTAAACCGCTGCTTGACACAATATGCTGAAAAGGGCTTATAATATTTTCATAAAACATTTGTACTTTTTGCATAGCTCAGTAAAGAACATTGAGGCCACCAGTAAGAGATGCACATTTTTAGCCATCCCTCCCCTCCCCATGTCCCTTGTCAGGCTCTGTCATAGATGTTCTCTGGCTTCTGTTAAAATTTTACCTTGCATTTTTATATATATATATATATATATATATATATATATATATATATATATATATATATATATATATATATATATATATATATATATATATATATATATATATATATATATATAAATAAATAAACATGCCACAATATTGAAATGTTGTCATTGCTTTTGTTTAGGTTTAATTGTATAAAGTCTCATGTTGGTAAGTGTTAAGCACCAAAAACTACAAATAATGAACTTTACAAGCTCTACAACTTCAAAAAAAAAACAGGACATAAATTGTAACTTTTGCCAATAAGGATGGTTGGTATTTAAACAATTCCAAGCAAACTCTTTTATTTCCTTAGTCAGCACAATTTATTTATTTCCAATACTTGCCCACAATAGAGAGGATGACCACAACCACGTCAAAGATATTCCAGCCATTGGTGAAGTAATAGTGACGCAGCGCAAACAGCTTCAGAACGAACTCACAAGTGAAGACCACGATGAATATGAAGTTGACCCAGTAAAGCACATTCTCTGTGTCATCCGACTGATCATCGGTCTCTACCATCATTGTGACCATGTTTAGGCAGATGAGGATCATGATGGAGATGTCAAACACCTGCTGCGTCACAAAGTCAAACACCATACCCTGGATCATGTTCTGGGGGAAAAGAGAGAAACAGGAACAAGTTAAACTTTTCTTAGCTTTAAAAAAATAAAGCATACAGTTGCCAACAAGTGATATAGGTGCGCCGTTGTAATACCTGAGGCCTTGGTATTGGTTTTTGTGGTTTCTTTGACCCAAGTTTTTTCATTGCATTGTAGTATTTCTTCTGTTCTTCTGTCATGAAGATATCCTGGCCTCCAAAGTAAAGGGACAAAAACAGTTTGATTACAATCTGCAAAGATCAAATTACTAAATTCTATATTGAATTTGTCAACACAAAAATAAATGTCACAAAAATCGAAGATCTAGCTTGAGATGTAACCTTTTTTTCCTCCTTTTTCAACAAAACTGCCACCGGGTTGCAAAAGGAAACATATATATATATATATATATATATATATATATATATATATATATATATATATATATATATATATATATATATATATATATATATAAATATATATATATATTTATATATGCATAAACGACAACTGCTTGAGATTGACGATGTATAAAACCACTGTTCTACCCCAGGTCAGAGGGGAGTTAACACGCTGAACAACGCTGAACAAGGCAGTGACTGACCTGAAAAGTAAGACCATGGCAAAAATATCCACCAAGCAACCCTGAAGCCAGTTACAGAGACTAAGTGAAGTACCATCGGAAAGTCTACTAGAAGATGTGAATGCAGCTCTGCAGGCAATTCCTACATCAACCATCACTGGCATCAGTGAGTGAGCCACTTTAAAAAAGTATGGGAAAATAATTATAAAATGCTTTAATGGAACTAAATTGGTGAGATTTGTCAATATGCTAGGAAACTGTAGTTTAACATGGTATTAAAACACTTGTGTTCTAGATTACCAGTTTATAAATGCTCTAATAAACTAAAAGGTGAAATATTATTAGTTATTAGTTTGTGATTATGCTACTATAGCATTTTTGAATTATAAAGGTTTTGTCCTCAAATCGGACTCAGGGTGGTCATTTGTAAACTTTGAATGTTTTTTGCAAAGGCAAAGAAAATGTCTTATCTTTTTCTTCTGCTGGTTGAAATTATCAATGATGACACCGATGAAGAGATTCAGGGTAAAGAAGGAACCAAAGATGATAAATATTACAAAGTAGATGTACATGTAGAGGTTGTCCTCATATTTAGGCTGGTCTTCCACCTATCAGGTTGGAAAAAAGTACATTATAATCTATCGTAAACAAGAAAATGGAGTAGAAAAAGAAGTAAAGCTGCAGAGGCTCACCCTTCTAGAATCTATCGCAGCATACATAATGTCCATCCAACCTTTAAAAGTAGCCTGTAAAGCAGACAGTGAAAAGTTCATTTATATAAAAACTATGATAGACCAAGAGTCATCAAGAAGGTTTCTTACCACTTGCAAGAGTGCAAGGTATCCTGCACCAACATTGTCAAAATTGATCTTCACATTTTTCCACCTCACTTCTGTGTAATTTGCGTTAATCAGCGCAAAACATTCAGTTTTATTGTAGACATCCTCTGGATCAAAGTACTCTTCAGCTGTCTCATTGAAACAGTAATAGTACTTCCCAGCAAAAAGGTTTACTCCCATGATGCTGAATATGAGCCAGAAGATCAGACACACCAGCAACACATTCATGATGGAGGGAATGGCTCCTACCAAGGCGTTCACCACAACCTGCAGAGAGTCATAAGTAAACTAAACTGTAGAATGACAGTCACTGCAGATGTAAATAAACATTGAGACACAGAGAAATGCACTTTCTTTTCACATAAGAGGCTCACTTGTTGTAGTTGTTTTTTGGTAAATCTTTCATGATGTACTGTTGGGGAGTGTAACAATATTTAGCAGGGCACACAATGCAATGCACAAGGTCAATGAGAATAAAAAGCCCTATTGTGTCTTGACGTTTGATGCAGCAATAAAATTGGAAGGATAAAAGCTTTTTCAAACATCTCTTGGGTCAGGAAACAAAAAATAAGAATGACTTATAACTAAATATTATCATGAAGAATAGAAATAAAAAACAGAAAAAATATCAATAGAAATCTTATTAGTCTTTCAAATATTTTTTTCTGAAGCAAAAAAATCTACATAAAAATATTGATCAAAATATTATACACAGAGAACATTTTGTTAGGATCAACAACAGTAGTTTTATTTCACTTCTTAAGATGGCACTTCATGTTATAGATATTTTTTATCAGAAGTTAAATTTTAAGTCTAACGTCTCTAAATATCTTGTCATAGGATGCTTAATTTTTTAAAAGCCAGTTAGATTTGTTCCATTGAAATTACAATAGATCAAAAAGTTGTGCCGTGATGTTATGTTACACTCCTCCAAAGAAATGTAAAATATTCTATGCTGATATTCAAGCCAATACACCAAGTATCAATCAGGTTTTTGTATAAAAAGTCTTGTGTCAGTTGTAAGAATTTTTGACAAATAAAAACAAACTGCTCTCATATATGTGACAGGCAGGATTTGAAGCCTTAACAGATAGAGAATATGTGAATGTGCATTTCTGCATACAGAGGTGCCATGGAAAAAAACAACAACAAAAAAAATCAAAACTATCAACAAACAAACATGTATTTTTTGTGTTTAGGCCAATAGCTTATGTAGAGTCAATGCATAAATATTAATATAACTGCATAAGTGTGATGAATTAAAACCATAGTGATGAGAAAACCCTGAAGAGTGATAAGCAAAGATGGCAGGGGAAGGGAAAGGAGGGGAGGGGGATATGCAACCAGAAGTTTGTTGATCTTCCAGTGTGACAATGCCAAAGCCAAACTGTGAAAAGATCAGGTAACAGGACACCTCAGGCAGAGCAAAAGTCAGAAAATGCTGAGCCCACGCACGGAGAGGAGTTTTAGTTTCTGCCAAACAACAACCAGAGGCTGATCGGAGCCATCAGACAAGCCAAGCGCTGTGCATGAACATGATTTTTTTATAGCAGAAAAAGATTATTGATCTCCTGATAAGACCTAATAATATATGAAAAGGCCATTAAAAAACACACACTTGGCTTAGGTTTTAATATAGTCCCATTAAAAGAATTCATAATCCTCATACCTGAGCACAACAAACTATGATGTGTTTTATTGGGATTTTATGTGATGAAACAACAGAAAGTAATACTCTGTTGTGAAGTAGATCAATTTGAATTTAAATGGATGGAGAACAGAATTTCTTGTGAAAGTTTCTCAGTTCTGGATTTCAGATTTTCTCTGGCAGGGCTATTGGCAAACCCCAGTAGAATTTCTAGAAACTGTCTTCTTGCTTTAGCAGATCTGTGTAGCTCCTCTAAAGTTACCATGGGTAGTCTTGCTGCTTCTCTTGCCTTTCTGGATGTTTTCATGAATGATCGGGCCTTGGTAATGATGCAACACTACCCCTCACCTTTCTGCTTTTTTTCCCTGGACCTCTATAATCTTCTTTAGTTTTTTTGCTCACTGATGATCCCTGACATTCCCTGAAGCCTTCACATAGCAGCTTAGTTTACACTGAAATTTAAATAAGGCAAATGGGCCCATTTACTATTCATGTGTACACCTTTGAAGTGTAGGTATTTAGAGATTTCAGTATAGATTTGAGTATAAATATAATGAAAATGTAGACTATTAATGATTCATTGATGATAAATTTTTCTTTTCAGTTAAGAAATGTATTTTATTTTTTGTTAGTTGCTCAAACATAACCATGATGAAACACATTTCAGTTTGCTGCTGTCGGGTAAGAAAAGCTGATCATTTCAGATACCATGAATTCGTTTGTTCATTTAAGTAGTTTAGGAACATCACCACCACTCTAAGGGTGTCTACAGCAGGTAGTATTTAATATTTCAATTCTGTATTGAATTCCAGGTTTAAGGGTTTGATGGGACAGTTCACGCCAACCTCTGGTTGTTTCTCTGCTAGCACCAATAACAGCTGACTTTTTATTTTGCTGCATCACTCAGGCAAAAAGTCAGGAGGAAGATATTTTTAGATCAGGTCATTGAAATACTCAATCAACAGGAGCTTTACCAGAATTCTACATTTATCATATGAAATGAAACATGATAAATCAAATCAGATGTGTTAAACCATCTGAGATGATCTCAGTCCATGCAAAAAGCTTCTCGGTTATTAATAGGTTTATTGCAAAAAATTCCCATCAGAGATTTTTTTATGTTTATTTTATTTTTTGCCATTTCTAGCATGCGTTGATGCTTTTTTTGTTGAACTGGCATGCAAAAGGAGCAGCTGCCTGGAGTCTTAGGTCTTACCCTCATCCCTTCAAAACGTGACAGGGCCCTGAGGGGTCTCAAGGCCCTCAGTGTCCTGAGTGATTTAATCGGGCCTAGATCGGAGTAGCCCAAAGCATTAGCTACAAGGCTGACTATAGACACCTACACAGACAGGGACAGAAGGAGAAGGAAAGACAGAGGCAGAAGAAGAAGAAAGTCGCCACATAGTTAGAAGGGATATAGAGAGAAGGTGGCCCTAAACCAACTGTAAGGGTAGCTGAATTATTATATACATAGTACAAATATAAGTCCTTTATGTGTAAGAATACTTATACAACATAAAGGTTCAAACAGTAAAAAAAAAAAGGTCAATAATGAGTACCCAGAGTTTTCCCTTATTTAAACCCTTCTGTTTGTGTTTGGTTTAGTTTTGGCAAGCCAGTCTAGCATGATAACCAGCTTAACAGCGCAGTGAGCACACCTGGAAAGAAACTTGTGGTTGACACAGTGAGAGGAAGAGAAGAGAGTCCAACAAAGGGACAAAGTCGGAGGAGAGATGTGTTCACGAAACACTCAAATCAATGTGACACGATAGTTTAACACAGTACAAAACGGTACCAACACCAGCGGGCATTTCACTCAAAGAAGGGAGAAAGAGAAAGAGAGAGAAGATTGCAGGCGGTTGAGGACAACTTTCAGGGTTAGAAGAGAGAGGGTAACCTGTGAAAGTAGGAACCCCATCACAGCACACAAACCTTACCCTGGACCCCAAACACCGACCTCTCTGTCCCCCTCCTGAGGTGCACAATGTCTCTCTTAACTTAAAGAGAGACAGTTATAGGAACCTGCTGTGAGAGAGAGGACAGTTCAGTATTAGGGAAAATGGTTTAGCTATCTTTACAGGATGTGAATTTTCACACTTAATAACTTTAGCTTATTTACAGTCTTCCTTCATAGTTTATGGTTATCACAAAGACTTTTCTCATAGGAGGTCCTTTCCTCCCTTTTACACTGATTTGTTTTTTTTTTTTTGTTTGCTTTGTTTTTGTCAAACAAAATTTTAGATTTCGTTTTTTAAGGAAAAGCAGATCTATTTGGCAAAACAATGCACGTTTTAGAGTTATATCAATAAAAGCTGGTCACAAGTTAGCCTAAATGGATCTGGAGGGAAACCAGATAAACTCTGTGTACAGGTATACACAGTGTTGTTCATTACACATTCAAATTAATGCGTTCACAAGTAAAATACTTTTTTTTCTTTTTTCAAATTACTAAGATTAAAAGCATTTGATAATTTTTTTCTATTTTCTGGTGAAAAGATTATGGTTTAGGGCTATCCAAGAATAAGATGAGTGGACTGCAATAATCTTTTTAAGTTTAAATATCTTTTCAAATGTTAGCAGAATATATTTTTGAACTAAGAAAAAATAATCATTTTACAATTAACTAAAAAATATTGCAAATAAAAATCTTGATTTTAGGGAAAAATGAAAAAAAAGAAAAGAAAATGAAGAAATTACATATAAAATATTGATAAACAACTTACGTTTTCAAGATGGAAGACATGGCTTTTAAGTCGTATGTGTTTATTTAAAGATATATTTAGCATCAAATATCACCCTAATCAGCACATTGACAGGTACTCATCATAAGTAGTCTTTCTGAATGTTTTAGGTTGCTGCAGTTTTTGCAGACATTAAAAGTTCACCCACCGGAGTTGAGAGTATACCTTTGGATTTAACCGTAATGATATTCAAATACACAAACAATGGGAAAATGAGGATGGAAATCTTGTTTCCACGGACACAGAAGGACACACGATTAAAAAAATATATTTTGTAGTGGGGTCATTTCTTCTTGAGCTGTATTTACTTGTGCATGAAAATGACAGTGACATGGCAAAAACTATTTAAAAACATCTAAAAATCTCTCAAAATTAGCGTATTTACCCTTATATTGAACAGGTCTGCCAAAGGAATGAGTACTTTTACTCAAAAAAATCTAATAATTAGATATGCATTTAAAAAAGAACAATGCAATTGATTTTTTTCTTATTCTTATTTGTCTGCTGGCAGAGTGTCTCATTTACATGCTTAATTGAAGAAGAAATGCACATATTTTAAGAAACATTAACTTACTTAGATCTCAGTGTTTTGCAGTGAAACCAAACTGACATTAATACATTAGAAAAGCTACAAACAAAGCAAAATCCACTGAACTGCAAAATATAGAATGCAGTTAAAAACAAAAGCTGGCTTGCAGGTTAAAATCCAGCAGATTTTAAGTTTAGATCATCCGTTTCTATCAAAGTCATTGTAAAATGAGCACACCTTCTTTAAATCTTTGGTATTTAGATATTGTGAGCTAATGCAGGATTTTTTTAGGCTTTACTTTTTGATGGACATTTCAAATTGGATTTACCTGCTTATACTGATGGCATGATTAGATATGTTGTTGAAAAATCTTGTAAAGAATTAAAAAGATTAACTTAAAGAGGGTGCACTTTTTTATTCTGGTAAGATATCAATATTTCTTAATACATTCTAACCAACAAAGATTACATTTAAAGTTCCTCAAGGACTCATTTTTGCCTTTTCTATAATAGGTAATTTGCCAGTAAGAAACAGTGGGAAAAAATAGCTTTTTTAGAGAGTAAAAAAGTAAAGAAAAAAACTATATAAAACAACAAGAACAAAAAATATCTCCACAGACTGCCCTTAGTTATTTAAAAGTGGTTAAAAGTTTCTTGATATGAAAAAGTCTCTTTCTCTTTTTCTCTTTGTCTTCCTTTTCTCTTTTTGTTTTGTTTCTCACTTAAAAAGTGCCCACCAACAGCAGCATACATCTACATGTATAAAAACATAATAACCTAATAATTTGATAAACAAAAACTAAAAAGACAAAAACATTCTGCAAAAAATAAGACACAAGGTTATTTAATTGTTACTCTGTAATAATAAATGCAATGAGTATTATTTCTCATAAGCTCAGCTTTTTAGCTACCTCCAAGTTTCATTGGAGAGCTAAAATCAGTAACCTTGCCTCCCAAAACAGATCAACCAATCACGTTGCAGTATTATATGGTCTAAGGATGGATATAGCTGTGTCAAAAGTGAGTGCTGACAAGCCAACAAGCCAAACCAAAACAAATATGACAGCGAATGAGCCAAAGTGTAACTTGTTGTGGTTCTTCACGGCATTTGCTGCTTTTCCATTTGTTACTGTGACTGGCTAAGACCAAACTTTGGTAGGTGGGGACTAGGTGTTGCTTCGTTTGATCAGCTCAAAATGTTCTTCTGAACATCAGACGCAATGGGAGGATTCCCAGGTTGATAATGTGTAGAATTAAACCTGAGTACTACACATCAGTCTGGCTTTGCCAGGTTAGAAATTCATATTTTACTAAGCAGTCTGCTAAGTTATACTATTTAAACCTGTTTTTTTTGGTTGACACCATTACAAACCAGTTGGCTCCAAAAAAAAAAAAAAAAAAAAATGTTTTGGTTTAACTAATTTCTCCAGTTAGACTCTGAACTCATCTTAAACCAGAACATACAAACACTAAATCTGTCAACATTTTCTAAAATACAAATATTAAACTAGTGAGTTATTATATCATCATGATAAGAAAAGGAAAGACAGCAGACATTTGGAAACATAACATAATAGAAGATTACTGAATCAGTGATGCTGTTGCCAATAGTTTATCAGATAGTCTAAATATTATTGATTATTAGCGTTTCTGCATCCTGAATGGAAACAATCAAACTCTCATTTAAGATCTTTAGTTATTTTTTCTATAAGATACAGGTAATAACTTCAGACATTGGCTGATTTGGTTATGTAAAAAAAATGTTAGAAAAGTACACATACAACTTATACATTTAAAAGTAAAACAACATTAAAAATAAGGGGAGAAAGCCTGTCAGAGAGGTTAGAGATGATCAATTATGCAAAGGAAAAAAGGAAAAAAATAATAACAAAAATGATAGAACTTTTTTTTCTTCATCCTGAATGGCATGTTTATGTTGAGCAATAAATAAATAATTATAGAATCAAATCTAAACTAGCATTATGGCCAACATCCCTCAAGATGCAGTATTTCTACAAAACAGTTAAAGGAAATCTTTCCAAGTCAGACATGAAAAATGCCAAGGCAACAATGCATGTGAGAAATATTGTATTGTTATTACTAAAATTATTGAGGCTGTAAATAGTTAACCATAAAAACACTGGTTCTTAGACTGGAAGAGGTTTGGGATTGTCTGGTTTTATGCAAAGTTAAATTGCAATACAAGTCAGTTCAAAGAAAGACCAAACCAAACCAAAAAAAAAAACATGCAAGAGAAGCGCTGCTACCTGCTCAGACCAAAATTTGCTAACCATAAGGTCTATTTATTAATTAAGCCGCATGTTCACAGGCTGAGTAATTAAGAAGTAGGCTGGAAATCTGGAGAAAATACTAAAGATGTTTAAAAACAATAAACTGGGCTCAGCTAATAAAATAAAATATTTTTTTTTTTAAATAAAGTGGGCTAAACATCCTATTAGAGGAAAACATTAGGAAAAAACCTGGAGGGATTTAAATACCCTGAAATATAGACCCACCAATAGACGATTAAAGACCAAGTTTATATATATATATATATATATATATATATATATATATATATATATATATATATATATATATATATATATATATATATATATATATATATACACTATATTGCCAAAAGTATTTGCTCACCTGCCTTGACTCACATATGAGCTTAAGTGACATCCCGTTCCTAATCCATAGGGTTCAATATGACGTCGGTCCACCCTTTGCAGCTAGAACAGCTTCAACTCTTCTGGGAAGGCTGTCCACAAGGTTTAGGAGTGTGTTTATGGGAATTTTTGACCATTCTTCCAGAAGCGCATTTGTGAGGTCGCACACTGATGTTGGACGAGAAGGCCTGGCTCTCAGTCTCCGCTCTAATTCATCCCAAAGGTGTTCTATCGGGTTGAGGTCAGGACTCTGTGCAGGCCAGTCAAGTTCATCCACACCAGACTCTGTCATCCATGTCTTTATGGACCTTGCTTTGTGCACTGGTGCACAGTCATGTTGGAAGAGGAAGGGGCCAGCTCCAAACTGTTCCCACAAAGTTGGGAGCATGGAATTGTCCAAAATGTCTTGGTATGCTGAAGCATTCAGAGTTCCTTTCACTGGAACTAAGGGGCCAAGCCCAGCTCCTGAAAAACAACCCCACACCATAATCCCCCCTCCACCAAACTTTACACTTGGCACAATGCAGTCAGACAAGTACCGTTCTCCTGGCAACCGCCAAACCCAGACCCGTCCATCAGATTGCCAGATGGAGAAGCGCGATTCGTCACTCCAGAGAACGCGTCTCCACTGCTCTAGAGTCCAGTGGCGGCGTGCTTTACACCACCGCATCCGACGCTTTGCATTGCACTTGGTGATGTATGGCTTGGATGCAGCTGCTCGACCATGGAAACCCATTCCATGAAGCTCTCTGCGCACTGTTCTTGAGCTAATCTGAAGGCCACATGAAGTTTGGAGGTCTGTAGTGATTGACTCTGCAGAAAGTTGGCGACCTCTTCGCACTATGCGCGTCAGCATCCGCTGACCCCGCTCCGTCAGTTTACGTGGCCTACCACTTCGTGGCTGAGTTGCTGTCGTTCCCAAACACTTCCATTTTCTTATAATACAGCTGACAGTTGACTGTGGAATATTTAGGAGCGAGGAAATTTCACGACTGGATTTGTTGCACAGGTGGCATCCTATCACAGTTCCACGCTGGAATTCACTGAGCTCCTGAGAGCGACCCATTCTTTCACAAATGTTTGTAAAAACAGTCTGCATGCCTAGGTGCTTGAATTTATACACCTGTGGCCATGGAAGTGATTGGAACACCTGATTCCAATAATTTGGATGGGTGAGCAAATACTTTTGGCAATATAGTGTATATATATATATATATATATATATATATACATATATATATATATACATATTTATATATGATGCTTAGACCATAACTTATGATGTTACAAAGTCTAAAGTATTGAGCTGAACATATGCAGACAAAATGAAACTGTACTTACATCCACAATGAAGAAGTCCAGCCAGCACCAGGCATTAGTGAAGTACTTGACAAAGCCGTAGGCCACCCATTTCAGCAACATCTCCAGGATGAAGATGTAGGTGAAAACTCGATCGGCATAATCTAAAATGATACGCACTGTCTTCCTCTGTTCAATGTACACGTCTTCAAAGGCCTGAAATATAGCAGAATAGCAAATTGGCCAGTGGATAAAATGAGATAACAAGTTTGGGGTATTATGAGGTGTTTTTTTTTCTTTATTCTGTTGTTTACAGTGATGGAAAATCAAATCCAACAATGACATAGGGACGAAGAAGGAATGAAGAAAGAATGAAATATAATGACATTTAAGCATGTATTTAGGGAAGTTCAGGAGGAAATTTATACTAAACTACTATGACTATTATGAGGAAAATTATAATTATTATTATATTATTATAATATGTAAATACTTAGTAAGTATAGTTCCATGGCCTGCAGTAATCAGTTAAGGAAGTTAAGTGTACCTGGTTTGATAGACGTTTATTTGTTTAGACAAATCTGCCTTTCTATCACAAACAGAAGTTTTGTCCAACATTATGTAAAAACACAGGGATTATTAAAAGAGGATGACTGCCAACTCCATCTATGGCATGTATGCATTCTTCAGCGCATAAGTCCAGAGCCTTTTTTCTTTCAAAAGCTGCAAAGCAAGGCTGAATCATTTTGGGTAAAAGGCTGATGTATTACAACAATTTGCCTTCCATTAAGGACTATTATATCAGGAAGAGTTGCAGTCAGAAAAAAGCAAGGCTTGCAGATGCTCTCTTGCATTGTTACTTTTGCAGCATATTGCATGTTTATTTTCTTACAAAACCAACAACCAATCATGTTTTAAATAACTTAATCATAAATGACATGTTGGAATACTATTAGAAGATGAGAATGACTTTCGATGGTGTGTGGGTTTGTGCTTTTACCAGAGCTCCACTGCTGAGGAGGATCATGAAGATGATGAGGGTCTCAAACCAGTTGTGTTCCACTATCAGGTAGCAGGTCTTCCTCAGGAACCACCAGTGTTTTCCCCATCCGTGAGTGATGGGAACGTCACAGCACTTGTATTTCGCTACACACTCTGTATGACGAATATAACACAACTGCTGACACATTCTAAACACGTTCTGGGGGTTCAGGGGTTTTTTAATGACAAAATCCTACAAAGCGTGACTTATATTAACCATTAATAAATGGCCCTTAATATTTCCTGACATCTATATTACAAGATCTGTAGAGTCTTTAAAAAAGAATCTATTATCAAAGCAGCATATGTTTATTTTAGCTTTTTCATTATTACATATATTGTTTAACAGCAAAGTATGAAAACATGATTTATCCAAAATCTGTATTATCTGACTGTCTGAGTGTTTAGCCTTCGCAGTGACTCAGCTTCAAACCAATTACTTCTTCCATAGTTGTGTTTTCCCTACCTAATGACTTTGATGGCTGAGGCTAACAGATTTGATGTGGCAAAAAATGTAGCACATATGAATAACTATACATGGTTTTAAAAACAATCCCTATGATTTTTATATAATTAATCGTAACAAGAATTTAAAAATTTCTATTATTGTAGGGCATTTGAAAGCAAAACAGATCCAAACTATGAAGTCTTCTCCACTGTGGTACCTTTCCACATATATATATCGTTTATTACACTCCAAACAAAACTGGAATGTTTGTTGGTAAAGCTCATAGTTTCATGTTTACCTTCCTAATGGTAGGAAGTGTGTTGAAAAATCGCTACTTGCCATATAAATAGTATTTACGCTATTTATATGATAATGCTACAAAACCAAAATAAAAATACTTTTTAAAAGAGAGTTTTTTCACAGATCTGAAGCATAAAGTCTTGTTTATAGTGAGCGTTGTTTACCATCAGTCCAGCAGGCGTCTGGGTCAAGATACTCCTCCACCACTTCGACAACAACCACCTCCTCTACATCCGGCTTGATGTCTATAGTGCTGCCCTCAGATGAACTGGTGTCATCCAGCTGTGAGGAAACAGCTCAGTTTAGTCTTAAGGAATTCATTCAATTAGAGACAGAGAAGCCTTATCATTTACAAAGTAAGCAACCAGGGATTTTATGCACTCCTTAGTAGTTATGGAGTCCCTGATTTGATCCAATATGCATACAAGTTGCTGTAATACAGAATCTTTTCTTAAAATTGCCTAACTGGCAGAGACATTCATGTGGCATTTATCAATATAAAAACACATATGATAGTATTGCTAATCTTTCAATGCTACATGTCTAAAAATTAGGTTTGTGAGTCTTGAATATTTGATTTGCTATGAAATAATTGACAAAACTTTTTAACTAAAAAACAATAGCACGGAAACCTTAAATAATTAGCTTTCAGCATGTATTACTTGACTCTATCAGGGTGTTCTGTTTCTATATATATATATATATATATATATACACTATATTGCCAAAAGTATTTGCTCACCCATCCAAATTATTGGAATCAGGTGTTCCAATCACTTCCATGGCCACAGGTGTATAAATTCAAGCACCTAGGCATGCAGACTGTTTTTACAAACATTTGTGAAAGAATGGGTCGCTCTCAGGAGCTCAGTGAATTCCAGCGTGGAACTGTGATAGGATGCCACCTGTGCAACAAATCCAGTCGTGAAATTTCCTCGCTCCTAAATATTCCACAGTCAACTGTCAGCTGTATTATAAGAAAATGGAAGTGTTTGGGAACGACAGCAACTCAGCCACGAAGTGGTAGGCCACGTAAACTGACGGAGCGGGGTCAGCGGATGCTGACGCGCATAGTGCGAAGAGGTCGCCAACTTTCTGCAGAGTCAATCACTACAGACCTCCAAACTTCATGTGGCCTTCAGATTAGCTCAAGAACAGTGCGCAGAGAGCTTCATGGAATGGGTTTCCATGGTCGAGCAGCTGCATCCAAGCCATACATCACCAAGTGCAATGCAAAGCGTCGGATGCGGTGGTGTAAAGCACGCCGCCACTGGACTCTAGAGCAGTGGAGACGCGTTCTCTGGAGTGACGAATCGCGCTTCTCCATCTGGCAATCTGATGGACGGGTCTGGGTTTGGCGGTGTCCAGGAGAACGGTACTTGTCTGACTGCATTGTGCCAAGTGTAAAGTTTGTTGGAGGGGGGATTATGGTGTGGGGTTGTTTTTCAGGAGCTGGGCTTGGCCCCTTAGTTCCAGTGAAAGGAACTCTGAATGCTTCAGCATCCCAAGACATTTTGGACAATTCCATGCTCCCAACTTTGTGGGAACAGTTTGGAGCTGGCCCCTTCCTCTTCCAACATGACTGTGCACCAGTGCACAAAGCAAGGTCCATAAAGACATGGATGACAGAGTCTGGTGTGGATGAACTTGACTGGCCTGCACAGAGTCCTGACCTCAACCCGATAGAACACCTTTGGGATGAATTAGAGCGGAGACTGAGAGCCAGGCCTTCTCGTCCAACATCAGTGTGCAACCTCACAAATGCGCTTCTGGAAGAATGGTCAAAAATTCCCATAAACACACTCCTAAACCTTGTGGACAGCCTTCCCAGAAGAGTTGAAGCTGTTCTAGCTGCAAAGGGTGGACCGACTTCATATTGAACCCTATGGATTAGGAACGGGATGTCACTTAAGCTCATATGTGAGTCAAGGCAGGTGAGCAAATACTTTTGGCAATATAGTGTATATATATATGTATATGATACAGTTGTATTATCATAATTTGTCCAACTCTGAGCCAGATGAAGGTGACCTAGATCTAAATGCCTATAAAGTTTGCTCTTGATTATGATACTTGCACATTTATAATATGTAGATGGTAATGTATTTATATCCCCTCATTGAGCTCACAGCCTGTTCGTCTGTAGGGCTTATTAAAGTTAATTCTTTGCACTTATGTTCAGTGTAGCAGCATGCTTGTTCAAATAGATGTTCTGTCATTCACTCAAATGTTGTGCTGTTATGTTGAAGTCTACACAACCTGCATGAAATAATAAGTATAACAGTTTCTATGAAATGCTCTGAGTAATCAGATGGTGCCTGAAGCAGATGAACTAGATGCTAGTTGGAAACTCAAAAATCAAATATATTTTTCCAATGTTAAAATACCCTACACCTGAAAGCTACCAAATCACACTGAAAGCAACACATTCTGGTGTTATTTGCAGATGAAAGAAGACTTAATGTAAGCTATTTGTAGTAACAACGAGATGTTCAAAATATAGATAGAGGACACGAAGGGATATGACATGCTACTTAATAGCCAAGTTTTTTATAAGTCAGTATACTGTATGTCTGTCAAGCAAGGCTTCCAACAGACAACAGGAAGGCTAAATGGGCTGCCCTGTAGGTGTCCTTTTGAGCTTTTAGTGGTTTTTAAGTAAAAAATTACTGTAAAATGATAGAGCTCTTTTGAAGATCTCGGATTAAAAGTAACAACTTAAAGATTCAATCTAATCACTAAAATAAAATACAAAATCCAGATTAAAATGTCATAAATATGAGTATGGATGTTTATTTTCAATGTAATCTGAATTCCAAAAAAGTTGGGATATTGTGTAAAACATAAATAAAAACACAATAAAAGGATTTGCAAATCAGATTTAAACTACATTATATGCAACACTGCAAAGTCACACTATGTAACGGTCAAATTGGTCAACTTTGTTATTTTGCAAAATAATGACTAATTGCAATTTTGATGTTTGCAACACATTTCAAAAACAGCTTTAACAGGGTATGTCTACCAATGTGCTTTATCACCTTTCCCTTTCAAGATTTGTAGATAATATTTTTTCTAATTCTAACTTTATTGTTTATTAAAGTATGTGCTCTGCATGTTCTTGATAGGAGACAGGTTGGTACTATAGGCAGGCTAGTCTAGTTTCCACCCTCAGTCCATGAAAAATATGTTGCTTACAATGCAGAATATGTTGGTTCAAAACCTGCTTGTACCTTTTAGCATTAATCGTGCCTTCACAAATATGTAATTTACCCATGCCATGGGCACTAAAAGACCCCCATAACATAATGTTTTGGCCTGGAGTTGACGACATCCATAATTTCTGAAAAGTATTTGACGTGGGCTTGTGAGAACGCAGCAATCTTACACACTTCATGTCAGTTCATCTAAAATATCCAGTCATTCATTTTCACTTTGCATGGTGGCGTTTTATCTTGCAATTGTCGATGTAGCATCAAACTGTGGTAACTCACAACGCTTGTCAGAAGTGTGGCAAGGGTTACGGTTAGGTGGTGATATATATTATTTTAATAATATTAGTGATAACATCCAGTTGTCACCGGTTATAGCAGTAATAATGATTCATGTCAGCTTCAAACAGCTCCTCCTGAGGGATCAAAGGTCACAGTAATTAAAAGTTGTTTCAGTCTTTTCGCTTGTCGGGAGTGTTGTGCCATTTGCCATGATCATACTTTTTGGACATTGGGAAGCAGTGTCCATATTTCATCCTGATAGGATGACCAGAGGAGAGAACGCAGCTTTGGTGGATAACAGCTGGGGGAATTCTGCAGCCCCCCCTTTTTCAGCAAAAGCAGCCACCAGCAAGTCACATGGAAGTCACAGAGGTGTGAAAACCTACCCCCCTCCCTGTGAGGACAGAACAAAACCACAGAGCACACAGGATTCTTTCTCTTTTGCCTCTTCTCTCTTTCTCCCTCGTCTGATCCAGCCTGCTTCTGCTCCTGCGCTCAAAGCTGGGGCCCACTGTGGCCCACAGTGGAGATGCGGGCCCCAGGGGAACCAGATCGCCAGAACCATCAAGGATGAGTCAGAACTCTTCAGAACCAAACTGCTGCAAACAGAACTTTTGCAACACATTTCTCTTGAGTTTCAGAACTTACAGAGCCAAACTGGATGAAGACCATGCCCTGGTGTGAGACTGAGGGGACCCCTGCTGTGAGACTGAGACAAAGAACCCCTGACTGCAGAGCTGCAAAACTGGATGAAACTCAAGCTTTCCAAATGGACATGGAAAAAGGTTTGCAGGTCTGGCATGATTAGGGACAGAACAAGCAATGTGTCTTTTGATGATGCTAATCATATCGTGTGTTTACTGCCGAGTAAAGACTACGCTAATTGATGCTAAAGAATGGACTGCATGCTACGCTATGCTACAGAAATATGTGTTGAGCTGTTGCTAAAGCTTAGACAAGCTTTATTCACTAAGGATTTAAACACTGATGTAACATTAGTTTTCATGTGTTCCTCAGATGCTCATTACATTTCCATTACCAAGTCTGACCAAGAGTCATTTAGTGGAAGCCTGATGTCTATTCGCTGCTAGCTATTTCAAAGAGGTAAAAGAATCATTTAACTAAAGGTTTTTGGTTCTTGATTAAGCAAATCCTTTAATAAAACATTATTTGGCCAAATAATGTTTTATTCACCTCATGGATTTGCATTGTGAATTGGTCTGAAAACATTCCAATTTCTTTAAAATTAGGGAAAAGCTAATTTGATCACATCCCAAATTATTCCAGATAAACTTTGGTTTCAAACACAGAATCCATCTTAAACTGTAATATGTTTTTCAACCGTTTCCCCCTTCCTCTTTGTACATAGTAGTTAGTTTAGTTTAGTTGAGTTTTACTAGTCTTAGTTGAGAGTGTTAAACTGAAATATGTTTGACTTGGAGCTGAATGATTTTTGTTAATAAAATCTTATTTTTTGAACAGAAGTTGTGGTGAATTTATTCCATGTATGTGCAGAAATAACTGTTTGACCATGATTAGTGCTCGAATCACTCTTTCATCTATTGTTCTAACATACAGTTAGTAGGACTGTGTGTCATAAACAGTATATAACAGCTGAAATAATATCTGATTAAATAAGATATTTTACCACCCCTACAGGGGAGGGCAATAAACATCTTAAAGTATCAGAAACATAAATTCCCAGCGGGCTGGGAATAGAATTTAACTATAGAATCACAACAGGAGTTAATGGTTGCACAGAACAAGAACACATATTATGTTAAAATATTAAGAATCCTCTTGTTATAGCTTTATATAACAGTGTTAAAATAGAAATTGGATATGGGGGAAATAAATATGGTGGTCTCTTAGCTCAGAAAATTTGAATTTACCTACTTTTATTAATGATGTGATTTTTGTATTTCAAATATGTGCTTAAAACTACAATAGTGACAACAAAGCTTAAACAGCCTGAGACACTTAAAACAGCTTCTGTTCTATTAAGTATGACCGCCCAGTATTTTCTCTTTAACAAGCAACTACAACTTACATCTTTGCTGTTCTCCACATCTGATTCGCTGCTGAAGTCCTCCGTGTTGAGATTTTCAAAGTCAGACTCTCCAACAGCAATAGGCACACACACGGTGAGGTTGGGGTTGTGGATGAAAGACATGTAGTCGTCATCGATCATGTATTTCCCCACACTGCTCCCTATGCCACTGGTAGTGCCGTTGCCATTTTTGGGATAGTCCAGGTCACGGTTGATTTCAACAGTGTGGTTTGCGATGCAGTTGAGCTTTTCCTCATAAATTCCATCCAAAGGCTTCTGCTCATCCTCTATGGGCTGTTTGGCATAAAGGGGAAAACAGAAAAACAGAAAACACTTTTGGAAAACCTGGACACAGACAATGAAATCAAAATTGTAAAGACCACAAAGATACACTATACTTCTGGCATTGTGTTCAGGTATGGGGCCATGAGAGACAGATTTAGGTAAAGAGGCCACAGTCCTTGTATTATACTTTGTCATCTTATATCTTTAATATCAAACTAAAAAGGAGTAAAATGGATAAGGCTACCTGCTCTGGTAGTAAGAGTGCAGTTGTTATTTGCTAAAGAGACCAGGAATACCTATTTTGCTTTGAGGAGCAACTACTGGCTGCCCTAAAGATAGTCAGTGGTGCTAAATGACATCATTACCCATGATTAGAATAACAGAGGTACTTTGTTTTGCAGATTGTCCTTATTCCAACATGATTCTAGAAGGGACTGTAAAGAAACACTCTGGCACTATTACTTTGATTCATTCATTTTCTTTGATCAACGTTGAATCAATGTTGTTGGAAAATTTTTCTTTTTCACTTTTTCCACAGATATAAGCTTAAAACCATAGGAACAGTGAGAAAGATTGATATCTGCAGCATCTTTGACATATTTTAAAACCAGTACAACACATGCCTAGTTGTTATGTACCTTTTTTAGCACTGTGGCGACAAAGATCCGCATGTTGGCCTTGAACCAGGCGACTCCAATTTTGATGCGGGCCACAGCAAGTTGGAGGTTGTTGGGCTCTCCGTCGTCGTCAGTGGCAGCAAGGTTGTCAGCACTGAACGAGCTCAGCAGCAAGGCCAGAAACAGGTTCAGCACCTTACCAGAAAACACAACACAAACTCTGGAACCCTAGAACTAAGTGCCATTGAGCTACTGTGATCATGTCTTGCAATATATACTTTTTTTCTTACCACTAGATTGCCAATAACCATGACCATCATGAAGACGATTAAGCACATGCTCTGTCCTGCCACCTCCATACAGTCCCACATTGTTTCAATCCACTCCCCACACAGTACTCTGAACACGATCAAGAAAGAGTGAAAGAAGTCGTTCATGTGCCAGCGTGGGAGCACACAGTCTTCTGCAATCTTGCACACGCAGTCCTTGTAGCTCTTTCCAAACAGCTGCATGCCCACCACGGCAAAGATGAAGACGATAATGGCCAACACCAAGGTCAAATTACCGAGAGCTCCCACCGAGTTACCAATGATCTTGATCAGCATGTTGAGTGTGGGCCACGACTTGGCCAGTTTGAACACTCTTAACTGCAAGTGTGAAACAAGATTATTGAGTTGTATTCTTAAGAAATTTAACAAAATAATGACATGTTCATCTCATATTTGGGTAGGCTAAAAAATGTAACAAAAGATTATTTTCCCCTCACCAATCGGAAGGACCTGAGAACTGAGAGCCCTTCCACGTCAGCCAGTCCCAATTCAACTAAACTCAGGGTCACAATGAAGCCGTCAAAGCAGTTCCATCCTTCTTGGAAGTAGTAGTAGGGGTCCATGGCTATGAGCTTGGCAAACATCTCCCCAGCAAAGATGCCGGTGAAAACCTATAGGGGGACAACAAATTAAAATCTGATTTTAGAGGGATTTAGTAGACAGATGTAACTTCCTGAAGTGATATGTAGTAATGGAATTTCTTTTAATTTAAGTGGTATCTTTTATATACTGTACATGTTGTTCCCTTTTCAAAGTTTTGAAGATTTTCAATACGTGTAACAAGTCAACCAAAAAAGGTATGCAGTTATATTGCAGGTAAAAAATACAAAGCCTGGATAATGTTTTAATGAATCCAAACATCCTGCTTCTAAAGCAAGATGTCCGACTGAGAACACAGCCATGTAAGCATCTGAACTGATCAAATAGAGTTTAAATATATTACTCATGTTGTTTATAATCAAACCAAAGACTTTTTGGTGAACATAAGAATGATACTTTATCCTATGTCCCGATGTTAAATTTTGATCAATAAAAAGCAGTTGTTTTTCCTCTGTGGTAAGTATAACTTAATATCTAAGTAACTTAAATGTCAATATGCTTGAAATGCTGTATACTTTCCGAAGTTCTGTTAAAAAAAAATCTAACTTTTATAGATTATAGATTCAGGCCCCACAAGTTAAACAACGTAAAGCATGTATGGTATATTTTCACAAAATTTGGGCATCCAGCTAATAGACACAAAAACAGGAATGCAAAAAAAAAAAAATATGAGAAAGGTTGAGCAAAAATTTCACAGGGCATGAATGTTTCAAAGTGAATGTAAAACACTAATCATCCATTAAACCATTCTATCATCTATTAAAAAGGTTTTCCTGGGTATTGTTAAATTGCTTCAGCTTTGTTCAATTGTCTTGTGGTGATGTCACGAGTACGCTTCTGTTAAAATTGACCCATATTTATGTTGCATACTCATGTTCTCCCCAAGTCCACACCTTTTCTGTGTTCTTGTCAAGAACATATTTGGCGAAGACACGAGTCCATACCCTTGTAATTCTTGTGAATTGAGAAACGGCCAACAATTTGATCTCCAATTCGCAAAGATTCTTATTTCAGCCGTTGCGTATATTAGCTGCGACATATGAATCAAGATGCTGTGACTAAAAAAATTAGATTGACAGATGAACGTTAATATATATTTGGCCAAATTTAGGTGTTCAGGCTGGCGTATCATTAACTAGTCTGCTTAAGATAACGAAAAAAAACCCCACAGATTTTAAGACAGGATTTAAAAAAAAATAGAAATGTTCTAAATTTTGGGACAATGTTGTCTGATAAAGAGTACATTTATATACATGTTTAGGCCAGAATGATTTGACATTTAAATATGATTTACCTACGACTTAAATTATTTAAAATGCCTTGCTTCGATAAGATCAAATTTTCCCTGCCAAAACATCTCATCCTACTATAATGTATGTCTTTAAGGACTTTACAAATCTGTCAAAGCACTGATTATGGTAAGTGAAAGAAACAGGCAAAGAAACAGTGAACAAAGTGGAGGTGATGAGACTGCAGAGAAGACTAGATGGCATCAATAAAAATAAAATAAATATTTAATGAGCGGTCCATCTGATTATTCTATGTGGTAAGTTTGAGCTTTTAAGTGCACATATTAAATGATGCATTGTGTTGCTTAAGCAGACAAAAGAGATTTAAAATCCTTCTGTAGCTCATGATGGAAGAAAAAAGAAGCCCATGGAAGAAGTGAATGTAGTAATCTCTTACCAGGTTGCCAACAGCAAGGACATTCTCAAAATGTTCGGTCATCGGATAGTGTTCCATGGCCATGAAAAGAGTGTTGAGCACGATACAGATGGTGATGGCCAGGTCCACAAAAGGGTCCATGACAATTAAGTAGACAATGTGCTTGAGTTTTAGCCAGATGGGGCAGCATTCCCAGATGAGGAAGATGTTTGCAAACTTGTACCAACAGGGAGGACACTTCCTCTGAGATTCCTCTAACTCTGTAGGATGAGGAATAAAGTAATGAGTATTTTTTTAATAGCAGAACGGCTGTCTTCCGTTATCATTATCTTGGAGAGAAATCGCAAGGCCAAGCTGCTAATAAAACAACATATGTCTACAACCCACTTCCAATACCTTCCAAAGTATTCAAACATTTGAATTTCTTTTACAAACTTTTGTCGCATTACAAACACAAACTTTAGTAAACAGGTGCACAGGACAATAGAATGCGCACTTTCATCTGGTTTGGTCTGCCGTGGTTTCCGTAGCGTCGTGAACTCGCAGGCGCGCGCTTTCAGGAAATCCTATACACTACTGTTTATGCTCTAAAAACATTCTAAATGACTTCGTTTCGAGTAAATTCTGGATGCTACCCACTCAGGACACTTGGAATACATTGGACGAGCAGTATGGAGGAATATTGACACGTTTTTTGTGGACTTTTATGGACCTTTCTGTCTCGGGCACCGTAGACCTCCATTATTTGAATGTCAGCAGACAGCAAGAAGCCTCCCAGATCTCCAGATGCATTTGAGATATCAAAAAAGTACTCCAGAGTGTTGTTCAGCATGGGGGTGAGTAGAAAATGAAGGCTAACCATGTTTTGGGTGTACTATTCCTTTAAGGTGCGGGTGGAAAGCCGAGTCTTGGAGGTAGCTCTTCTGTATTGAGCCATGCGTCTGTGGAGAGGTTGTTTAGTTTCTCCAATAAAAAGATCAGAGCATTCTTCACTGCACTGAACTGCATACCCCACTCTGCTCATATTGGGTCTGGGGGTTTTGTCTTTAGGATGCACCATTCTCTGTTTAAGGGTCTTGTTTGGTTTGAAATGTACCCAGGATTTTGTGTTTGGAGAATATCCTCTTGAGTTTTTTTTAGAGCCTCCAGCAACATGTTGTTGCCTTTAATCTTCTCACTATTATGTTCTGCTGTGTGTCTTTGGGATTCCCTTGCTGATTTGAAAAATGCCCAGTTTGGGTATCCCAAAGGTTTGGAGAACATTTTTGATGTGTTTTTGTTCTTTGCACTTCCCTTCTGTGTGTGTAGGGTCATGCTCAGTGATGTAAGGTTCTGATGACTGAAAGTTTGTGTTCCAGTGGGTAGTGTGACTCAAAAATAAGATAGCGGTGTCTGTGAGTGGATTTCCTATAGACAATGTTGAGGTTTCCATCTCCTTCCATGCTAACCAAAGAGTCCAGAAAAGGTAGTTTTTTGACATTGGCATCCTATCTGGTGAAGTTGATGTTGTGGTCAACCGAGTTGATGTGTTTTGTGAAAGCTTCCACTTCTTTTAGCTGGATTTTGACGAATGTGTCATCCACATATTTAAACCAATGGCTTGGCGGTGTTCCTCTGAAAGTGTCCAAAGCTCTTTTCTATTTCTTCCATGTAGAGATTGCCTACTATTGGTGACACGGGAGATGCCATGGCACAACCATGCTTATGTCTGTAAAAATTATCCCTGAACGTGAAATAGGTTTTGGAAAGACAAAGGTCTAGTGGGGTGCAAATCCTGTCCAGAATGAAATTAGTCCTGTTGTTTAGGTCACTAAAGCGGGTCTAGATGGTGCCAGCCCCAGAGTCCTGAAGGCCTGTGCAGAGCAGCTCCACAGTGCCTCTTCAATCTGACCCTGACCAAAAAGAGGGTTTCTAGAATCCCACTAAAATGCACCAAAGTTTGTGTTTGGAATATGACAAAATGTTGAATAAAGCATTTTAAAAATATCCTGATCAAATAGACGCAATCTTTCCGAAAAAGCACCATAAGAAATTTGCCAAATTAATAAAACAAATCTAGCGTACCTTCTAAAAGAGTGTTGGTGACCACACTCATCTGACTGTTTGCACGGTCTTTTCCTTTGAAGGAGGAGTTGAGCTGATCAACTGATATCATCAGAGAGCCAGAGTGTTTCTTCTTAATCTCCACATCTGTAGTCTGTACCCAGAAAATAAAACATAGATGGTTATTTAGAAATGCACAGCTTTAGTACCAAATCGCTCATTAAAGCATTTATTTAACTACCCTGGACACTTGACAATATCCTTCTTCTAGTGAAGAGACAAAACAGAGAAAATATAGCCAGAATCTTTATATTACATCTGCATATAACACTGAACTCAATCTAATGCCTTCTAACTTTGGAGGGCATGCACTGGCATGCTTTTCATGTCAAAAAGGGGAATTCAAACCTCATTTACATCTATATCATGCTAAATATCAGAAGAAGTAAACAGGTAAGAGCAGATCGACTTATTGAGAGCAGAGAAGGTCTAACATGCTTCCTGCAGGGGAAAAAATATCATTACACAAAAAAATGTTTCAGGCTTGTTTTGTGCACCATCCAGGGACAATAACTATGGGTGGATGAGGATAGCCAGAGGGATAGCTGCAGCAGAGGAAGGTAAGTGAATGGAAAAGACAGATATACAGAGAGGAATGAGACAAGAAAAGGAAGGATTGTGGACAGCAAATGCTCTGGTGCTAGGATCCCATAGAGGGAATGCTGAATAATGGTATGAAGGTGAAGTCCCTCAATGTGTTTCTTATTACTGAATGTAACTGATACCAAATCCCCTTAGATTTTAATAAAGTTTGTAGTTATAGTTGTGATAGTTATAGTTGTTTGTTAGTTATCATTAAAATGTGAAATTAATCAAAAGTGGCTCTGTAGGATGAGACTTTTAAAAAAGAATCTTAGAGTTTGGGAAACAGATGAACAAAGGGAAAGGAGTCAGGGTTTTAAAAGAAGGAGCTGCAGAGGTCAGGGCCGTCATCATGCCTAAACTGTATTGGTGTCCCATGGACGTCCTTACACTGTCATCAGTGGCTGCCTTATCTATTTTCACCTCAGGCAGAAGCCGTCTGCCAGGCCCAGGGCCAATGAGAGACACCACGCCGTTGCAGTCCACTGTGCTGTTCCGCTTCCCTCCAGAGTGTGGCACCAGCGGGTGGATGCGCGACGAGCCTTGGCTGTAGCCACTGTAGCTGTTGCGACGGTAAGGTATGAACAGTGAACCCCGCCGGTCGTCACGACGGTCTTCGCTCTCCTCAACAGTGCTGTGCTCGTCGTCTGCAAACTCATTCTCCGAGCCCATGTCCTTGGAACGACCCTTGAAGCTGAAGATGCTGCTGCGGCTGTTGTGACGTGACATGAAGGGCGAGCCGGGGATGCTGAGGAGAGACTGAAGGAAAAGAAATAAAAAAAAAACAGGGGATTCAGGTTTGTTGACAACAGTGGAAGAGAATAAGAAAATAAATAAGAAAATAAGAAAAACAGACAATAGACATGAGAGAAATTCGATGTCTCAAGCATGAAAATAAAATCATGAGAACTACTACGTATGCTTTCACCTGAAATCTTCTTCCACAATAATTCTCTCAAAAAAGGGGATCACTTTCCTTATGGTAACAACTTAATTTTGACCACAATTTGAGCTAATATAAGATTTGGTGATGGAACAGAAGGAGTAAGTTATGCTTATGTAAAGATACCAAATACATGTGTACTTCAAAAAGTAATATAATATAAGTTCTTTATTTCATGTATTTAATTCAGGTGAACGTCATGTTTTATTTTGATTCATTATAACGAAACAGGTATATTTTTCAGGTTCCCTGTTGTTAATTAATCCTGTGTTATAGTTCATACAAAACAAAAGAAGCAAGAAGGCTCTGGGTTTGATATCCGGCCTGGAGTCTTTCTGCATAGAGTTTGCATTTTCTGCCCGTGCGTGTGGGTTCTCTCCGGGCACACCGGCTTCCTCCCACAGTGCATAAATATAACCTGTTAGGTTGCCCTGCGATAGCCTGGCGACCTGTCCAGGGTGTACCCCGCCTCTCGCCCGTAGACAGCTGGAGATAGGCACCAGCACCCCTCGTTACTCGAGCAGGAAAATGTTCACAGTTAACAGACGTAACAGCAGTTTTGAAAGGGGCTAAGAAGAAAAGACGTTAGGAGACATAATATAGACCTTACACTGCTGGCAATAAAGCGCAGGCCTATGGAGAGTGTCTGGAGAACAGGAAGGGCATGTTTGAAGCTGTTCTGTGGGAGAGCTGGGGTCCAGTTAAGGCAGTCAAGTAAATTAATGTTTTTCTAGAAAAAGTGTAACATTCCTGCTATGCAGATATGTGTAAGAGAAAAAGAAGGGTCTTTCCTGAAGAAACAGGGTGCTGTGTTTTCCTAAAGCAACTGTTTCAACAATTGGGGTACATAGCTGATACTTAGTCGCTGGGTCAATGGCCACAGTAACTAAGTCAAACTCCAAACAAGCCAGTTTTATGAAAACCAAATGTAAGCCTAACTTACAAATTAAGCTGGTTTTATGGAACACTCCTCTGAGATACAATATTGTGCCTGAGCCCAATGAGTAAACAATAACCAGTGATGGAGCTTAATATCTGAAGTAACTGAGCCAAATGAGTAAGAAATGCCAGCGTGAGGTGTGAAAGGAAAGATACAAAGTCCAAGATCATGTGTGAAATGAACAAACGTGGCCTAGAGGATAAGACGCATGTAGCTCTAAGAATACAAGAAGAACAATAAGTGGAGTTAAAGCTGCTGAGGTATGATTTCCCATTAGGTAGAGCTTTTAATGGCAACTAGAGTGATGTGCGAGTAAACAGCCTAAATAATACTGACACTAGTAACAGTATCAAAGATAGAAGATTCAGAGATGAACCTTTCACTAAACCAAATGTCCTCATTCTTCTCTTCATTTTGCTAATATACTTAGAAATGGGAAATTACAAACAAAAGTACTTGTCCATATCAAACGATGACAAACAATAAAACACATATAAGCTGAACTGAGAAAGGTACATCTGCAGAAGGTAAGAGGGAGGTGGAAAGTTTGGATGCTTTGTACTCACAAACATTAAAACTGCAGTCTGTAACATTGAGGAGAGAGCAGACTTCGACTGAAAATTTGAAGAAAAACAGGTTTCAAGCCACTCCCCCACCCTCTCTGCTTCACTCATGCCCCACCTCCAAGCTCCACCCCTCTCACAGCATCTGCGCGGCTACCGCATGCGACCAGAACGGGGGGGGGGGGGGGGGGGGGGGGGGGGGGGCGGGATTCAGCGTGTGTGAGCTGTGATTGACACTCCAACAGACGCTCCTCTGGCTGTGATTGGTTGTTTTGACTCGTCCCGAAATATTCTTTCCAGATTGAAATACAGGCAGTAGGCTGTACCAATTGAAGCAGTTTTTTTCACAGGTTACATATCACATGTACTGCTGTCTGGGCATAGGGACAGTTTTAGCCAATATGACAAAAAAGTGATTTTTAAAAACTTATAGACTTCAGCTTTAATCTATTGCCATTATTTCTGTCTTTTTTTAGCATTTTAGCAGCACACAACATATTGGAAATTGTACTCATGGTTCTATTAATGGCTGCAATTTATATAGGTTTGTAGGAAGCAAATAAACCCCAGACCAAAACACCACTACCGCTATGTTTCACTGCCGGTATGATTTTTTACTTCCGAAATGCAGTATTAGTTTCAGTCCAGATGTAAGGGGATGAAACATTTATCAAAAATTCCACTTTTGCAATTGACAGAATATTTTACCAAACATTTAGGGATAATTGAATGTGTTATTTCAGGAATTCTGTTATAAGCAGTTGTACTCTTGGTTCTATTGTAAAGTTCTAGATGAATCGATGCATTCTTTCTTGGAGTATTTTTGCAGGAAACTGCTTTAATCACAATTAACTTACAATAAACGCAAGCGTGCAATTATATAGAAACTTGTTTTGGATACATTTCCCCTTCTTAAAATCAAGTAATTACTTTAACGCTAATATAAAAATTTGATGATCACAAACACAAAGATGTTTGAGCTGGGCCTGTTTTAGTCCTGTTTCTCTGACTGTGACTGGCTGGATGTGCTCTCTTCGTCCTCGGCCATGGAAGCTGAATCAGAGCTTGTCTGCCTTGCTGTGTGTTTCCTGGACAGGGCCACCTGTGGAGCTGGTTGGCAGTTCCCTTTTGTATTTCTGCTTCTTTCTGTATGTTTGCTTCTATCTCCTTAAACTCTAGTCGGCCACTGCAGATGGCCGCTCAAACTAAGCCTGGTTCTGCTGAAGGTTTCTTCCTGTTGAAAGGGCGCTTTTCCTCTCCACTGTCGATACAAGCATGCTTATTGTGAGGAATTGCCTTAGAGTTAATCAGTCAATGCAATCAACTGGTTTTCCTTAGATGGAAAACTTTGAAACATCTTGACTTTATGATCTGGTTGAATTGTAAAATGCCTTGAGATGACATGTGTTGTGAATTGGCGCTATATAAATAAACTAAATTGAACTGAATTGAATACATACAATATTATTAAAGCATGATGAGGTGAAATTAAGAAACCATTTTAGTTTGTATGTTAACTTTAACTGACTAGCTATTGGTCTTATTCCCTATTTTTTGTTGGTAATTAATGTTAAGTTGATTTCTACACTTTATCAAGTGATTCTGAAAGAAACCAACAAATACTGAACAATTTAAACAATATTTTGCATTTCAATACAAAAATATAGCTTAGAAACTGGTTTTTATGTTTAAGGAAATTGGGTAGCTTCAGGTTCAGTTTCCAAAAAGGTTTCAAAAACAATTAAGAAAACAAATAAAAGAAATTGCCATCATCTTATTGGCAGTCAAAATCCTCCCTAAAAGCATCACATGCAGAAAAGAAAGGTAGTTAAAATCCCACCTTTAGGGTGAGACTGTATTAGAAGGAAACTATACTGTTTAGACAATATATCAGCTTTTTCCCATTTGGTAAGCACTGTCCATCAAACAATGCAAAATGGCCGGCATTTCCACCATTAAAGTGAATCTTGCAGGTCACTGGACCGAATCAATAATTCAGGACCCAACTGTAGCAGGAGGCTGAACACTTCCAAACACTAAAAGCATACACAGCTTTTTGATCTGAAGCCATTAAAAAAATAATTTTGCAGATGCTGACTTATTTTTTTCCTGACTGTACCTGGTTCATTATGGATGGCCTTCTCCCCAGTCGAGTTCCTGGGAAGCGGATGGTGCTTTTCTTGCTGCCATCGTCTGACTCAGACTTAACTACCTTCTCACTGTCTCCTTTCTCCTTCTCCTGCTCTTTCTGACGCCACTTCTTCTTGCGATTGCGACGTTCTTTGGCACTCTTTGAGCTCAGCTTGGAGACCTCTGAGGAGCTACGGGACAAGTGACCGCCTTCTACATCCTCTAATGCAGCCTCTGACACTGTCCCTGCGGATGTGGCCATAGCAGCAGCCTGAAGTGAAAAAACAAATTTCATTATGAATATATGCATGCATAAACTATACAGAAGATGTAATCCTGAGGAAAGATGAAGGTTACCTGTGTCTCTTCCTGTTGCTTTTTGAGCTGTTCCAGCATAGCTTTGAACTCAGCCTCTTTCTGCTCTGCCTCCTCCATTGTGGCCTGATTCTGCTCCTCATAAGCCATGGCCACCACAGCCAAGATCAGATTCACCAGGTAGAAGGATCCCACAAAGATGACCAGCACAAAGAAAACCATGTAAGTCTTCCCTGCAGCTCGGAGAGTCTGTAAGAATACAGAAAAATTAAGATCAAGACAATACAAAAATGGCTGCTCAGTGGCGCACTGATGCTTTGCAGCAAGAAGGTTTCGGGTCTGATTACTGGCATGGGGTCTTTCTATATGGAGTTTACATGTTCTCCATGTGCATGCAAGGGTATCTCTCCGGGTACTCCGGCTTCCTCCCACTGTCCTAAAACATGACTGTTAGGACTGTTATCCTTAGGTGTGAGTGTGTGTGTGAATTATTGTTTGTCCTGTTTATCTGTGTGTTACCCTGCAATGAACTGGCAACCAGTCCAGGGTGAACCCCACCTCTTGCCCGTAGACAGCTGGAGATAGGCACCAGCACCCCTCACGACCCCAGCAGGGATAAGTGTAAAGGAGAATGGATGGATAATACAAAAATACATGTTATAGACCAACACAAAATTGTAAAGTGGTCGAAAAAGGACCTTTGTTTTGAAGGGTTTTACATAAAAAGTAAACTAAATACAATGTAAAGAGTGTGGAAAGGATTTGAACTAAATCCCCTTGGTTCAATATGTTCCATAACAGCCTTTGTGGGAAGGTCTCAACACACATATGCCAGATATATAGACTAAAACACTGACAGACCTTTAAAATAACTCAAGCACCGTCAGACATATTTTTGAACAGAAAAATAAATATTAATTATAATTTTGAAGTAAAGTTATTAATAAGTATTCATAATCATGTAAGATTACACTGTATTTCCGTCTAACCATTTTCCCATGGTCTCTCATCACCTTCCACAGCATCCCCCCTCATATGGAGATGAAGAGTTGTGCTGTTCTTTGCGCAACGGAAACCTGAGCTAACAGTAACATTGTTTACTCCACATTGAAAGCTCATGCTAATGAAGTATCAATAGAGCTGTATTAGCTCACTACAGATAAAGCACCAAGAGGCATTTTACATGGTTGCATGGGACTCCCATCAATCTAGGGAAGCTGTGTTCAGGACAGGTGAGGCATCAGCACTCTGAGGTAAGAAACTTCTGACTGCGGGCATTGCGAGGGCCAAAGCCACATATGGCCAGAAAATTCATGGTCACTTCACCACCAATAACCCGCACCGCATGTTGAAGGGAATCAAATGTATCACCGGCTGCAGCATCAGATATGTAAAATGCGCATGGGACCCCTCACTGTTAGATACACTCAAACGGTTCTATGTCTATGAGGATCCCACCCACCCCAACAGACACCTGGTGACACACCCCACAGTTTTTTTCCATGGCAGATATAAGAAAGACACTACAAGGAATGAACCTGTGCTAAGACCACAGGCCCCAACAACATCCAAGGGCAGTTACTAAGGGAATGTGCACACCAGCTGTATGAGGTGTTGGTGGACATCTTTAACATTGTCACTGGCTTCTGTCACAACCTGCTTAAAGTCTGCAATTATTGTCCCTGTCCCCAAGTGCTCCATGGTGATAATCCTGAATTAAAACCGACCAATAGCATTAACATCCACAATCATGGCGTTCTTTGAGAGGATGACCCACATCAAGGACTCAATTAATTTCAGAGTGGAGCCAAATCAGTAAGCCAACGGAAGGAAGTGACCAAGGCTGATGCAATCTCCTTTGTCTTTGTAACATCATCTAACAAAACTTAGTGTGGAGGTTCTCCTCTTGGACTGCTCACACTGTACGTCCAGAAACCACACGTCGGACCCAGCACCAACAGATGGTGCTGGTCTGACTCATAAATCTGGAAGGAGGAAGAAGAAGAACTTCCTTGTTTGCACATGTGCACTGGATGAGGTTCTGGTAAATCAGTTCATAGACGCTCATAGCTCTGTTTCAACAGCAGTGGATTTACCACAAACAATTCACTAGGGATGTCTGAATTTCAAACATGTGTGATTGTCTCCCAACCTTACGATTCCTGATCGGGAGGTGGTCGTGAGTGGCTGATCACCCCTCTTTACCCCCTGTATACTACACAACGCGGGATGCCTGATCGAAAAAAATTCTCGCACGACTGGAGAATCGGCCCACAAAGGGCAAAAACTTGTACAGTGTATGCCCAGCGTAAGGAGATGGTGATAGATTTCAGAAGGGACAAAGCTCTTCTTCATGCCATGTACCTCAGAGGAGCAGCCATGGAGCTGGTCTCCAGCTACTGGTACCTGGTTGTGCTTTTATCCAGTGACCACACCTGGAGTGCCAACACTTCCTGTCTGATCAGGAAAGCCCATCAATGGCTGTACTTATGCTGAAGTGAGCTGGACTCTGGAGGTGAGCCATGAGGAACTTTTATTGCTTCGTGGTGGAGAGTGCTCATCATGTGGCATGGCAGCTGCACTGCTGCTGTGAGGATGGCTTTGTAGGGGTGGTTAAGTCTCCACTAAACTGTAGGGAGCAGCCTTCACTCCACCTCGGAGCTCTACACATCAAGATATAGTGGGACGGCAATCTACATCACGAAGGACTCCACCCATCCTGCACATCAACTGTTCGAACATCTCCCCTCAGGCAGGTAGCTGAGGAGCATCGAGAGCAAGACCATCCAGCTAAGAAACAGGCTCCACCATGCAGCTTTTAGACCGCTGAACTCGAACCGCACTTCATTCAGCTTCACCTATTTCTTTTTCTTTTCTGAAATATTAAGCTTCTTAAACTGAAAGCTGAGTCCACATTTCGTACCTCAAACATGCAAATGTGAAAGGAGAAATCCTTGAATAATACAGCCAGCACTATGCTTTAATGCAGAGCTGGTGTGTTCGGGAGCAAGAGCAGTTGGCAGCGGTTTTCCATGCTCTTGACTGCTTTGCTGATTAATGCCCTCTTTTTCCTGACCTGAAACTTGGATTTCATGATTATGTCTGTTTACTGAAGTAAACCTCTGAGGCCTTCAAAGAATAGCTGGATTTAAACTGCAACTATAACAAACAATCAGAGGGAATACATTCAATAAGTTGGTGAATTCTGAAAGAAACAGATTGAACTTAAATGTATTTATGTGTATTAGAGTAAAAGCGACTGGCATACCAACACAAGGGACTGTTTATTACTCATCATTTCTTACAAACAATTTAAACTGTGAATCATACTGCTTGCTAATTGTGCTCTCTTGTACAGATATTTGTATTTGTAGTTGCATCCAAACAAAATTTGAAATACCTTGAGAAAGGTTTACATTTTTGCAAGTGACTATATGTAATGTTGGTATAGGTGGTAACACAAAATATTTTTTTTAATTTTCAAGTATTTTTCACAGATGGTATCTTAAGAAGACAGGGCAAAACAGAAAACAGAATAGTAGAGAAAAATACCTTCAAATAGATGGGAACAAGAAAAAAACAAAATATGAAAAAAAGAAAATAGCCCCATCAGTCAAATAGCTTTGAGAATAGTCATAGTGCATTTTCAGTCCATACTTATGCACGTTCTGTGCCAATCAAGACCAAAATCCGAGCTGAGAGGTGACCAGTCTTTTATAAAATTGTCCAAAGTTCCATCCAGTACACTGTATAGCCTTTCATAAGGCATCTGTGCTAATAGTTTTCCCCGCCAGATAGATAATATGGGAGGATGGTCTTTTATCCAAACATAAAGATAAGATAACCAAGAAGATTTCAAAACACATTTTTTTTTAAACTGTCAGTGCCAAAAACACAATTGTTTGGGTCCATCTGCAGTATAAGACCAATAGGTTTTATCAATTTCAGCAAGAACTTTAGACCAGAAAGATGCTAAACAGGGCATGACCACATTAAATCGAATTAGGTTCCTGTCTCCTTTTGCACTATCCAATATTTAACTCCATGTCTGGTCATTCAGTTGAGACCTCAATTGTTTTTTACAGCTTTGTTTAATATGTATGCAGCTTCTAATATTTTATATAAGCTGATCATTAAAGCAGGTTATTATTTATCTTTTTAATGCAGTTGCCTTTATATTCAGATCATCCAGACCATTCTTTTTTTATACATGCTCTTTAATATGGAATGGAATTTAAATAGCTTGTAAATATGGAAACATTTTGTCCATGAGAGATTAAATTCATATTTTATTTGTAAGAAAGACTTCGGTACAGGTTTGATGGAAACCAAGGTGTTAAACATAAGCACAGAGAAGGAATAATTTTTGAAGTAACATATCTACATAAAACAATTAAAGTCTTGTATATATTTTTAACAATATGATTATTACAAACTTTAGTTTTTATGTTGGTAAGACACAAGTGGAAAGTGCTCTAGATGAGAATTATCCATACCTATACCTTCTAAATCAGGGAAGCAAAACAGGCTTTTTCAAAACTATTCTAACACAAATTTTAATTGAGAGGACCAATGGTAGAATTTGAAATTAGGAAGGGCAAGTCCACCCTTTTTTATAGGCAATTGAAGGTTTTGAAGTGCCATCCTTGGTCGCTTTTTATTCCATATGAATGTACCTATAGCACCATGTATGCTATTATATGTTGTAGAAGGTATAGGTGTAGGCATAAAGTAAACATGGGAGGCTATTCATTTTAATAATTGCAATACAATCAAGCAAAGATACGTAATGTTAGATTGGTCAGCTATGGCTTTTGCTGTAAGAGGCAAAAATTTGTCTTTAATTAATTTAGAAAGATTACTTGTAATGAATGTACCAAGATTTTTTAAATACACTTTTAGTAACTTTAAAAGGGTAATAATTGGTTAAACTATTAGCTAAAGGTTTTCAGGTAATTTTTTGCATCCAGAAAATTTACTGAACTCTTTAATAATTTTAATTAAAGGTGGAATTGTTTCGGTTGGAGTTTTCAAAAATAAGAGTACATCATCTGCATATAATGATATCTTGTGTACAATATTTTTTTTGTATGCCTTTGATCCGATCAATTGATCTTATAGCATCTCAAAGAGGTTTAATTAATAAAGTGAAAAGTAGGGCAGACAAGGGAAAATCCTTGTTTTGTTCCTACCTCCAGCAAAACTGTCTCAAATTCTTTACCATTAACTAAGAGAACAGCTTGTGGCAATGCATAGAATAGTTTAAGCCAATTAATAAAGGGGTTATTGAATGAGAACTGATTTAGTGTTCTAAATAAGTATTTACATTTAACAAGATCAAAGGCTTTTTCTGCGTCCAATGTAATGACGACTGCCTCCTCCTTCTTAAAAGTTAAATGCTGAAATATTCCAAGTACGGTAGTCGTTTATATTGGAGCAGAACTGTTGGGTTTGTATAAAGCCTGTTTGATCTGTAGCTGCTAGTTTATGAATTATAGTATCGAGTCGCATTGCTAAGAAATTTGCTAATATATTTGCGTCTGTATTTTGAACTGATAATGGTCTATAGTGTAATTATAGACTGCTGTTTTGGGAATTTATAAACCACCCTGCTCAGCTTACTCACATAGCTTTTATCAAATATACTTTTTTACTGTATAGTGTTACATCTTAAGTTGTATTAAGTATTAAGATTATTCTATTCTATTCTGTTAATCAGAAATCGGAAAAACTTTAAATATACATGGTGATGCCTGTTGACAACCCCTTCTTACCAGCATGTAGAGATTTTCCCAGAAGTCCTGAGTCATGAGACGAAAGAGGGTAAGGAAAGCCCAGCCAAAGCTGTCAAAACTGGTGTAACCGTAGTTTGGGTTTCTTCCAGCTTTCATGCATGTATAACCCTCAGGACATCCTCTGTAGGAAAATAAAAAATAAAAAAAATTTACAAAAAAAAAGTTTTAATTAAACTGATCATTTTACAATTTCAATATCTAGATGAGATGAATGTAGAATATACGATTAATCATGGAAGATCATTTTACTTAATAGTTCTTGTTTTGTTTTTTACAAATCATTTATTTCTAGGTCATTTATGGAGCTAAATCAGTGACAGCTGGGATTGACATCAAATGTGAAGTTTGACATTGATAAATGAAAAACTAAACACTAAAATGTCAAAAATTGACCATTTAAAACATTGAAAGGTTAATCATTTGTAATTTCATAAACTGAAATTTCAAACGTCCCTTTAAAAAAGTACAAATTTATGATGATACTCTCATTTTTTTATGCAGCACTTTTTGAATGAGAAACGCTCTAAGTGTCACTGCACAGTTCCTACAGCTACGAGGTCACAACAAGCTGGCAGCACTTTGGCCTTGGATGAATGGGACCAAACTGAAGGCTTTTCCGGTACCCTTCCTCATCTAGCTGAGGTAAACTAATGGCTCCATATAAAGTGTTGCTGTTCAACCACAATTAAGGTTATTAATTTTGTTATTGTTAATCCAGTAAGTTTAGTTTCAGATAAAGCTAAGTGACGACTTATATGTCAAGATGAGAACAGAAAGTCAGGTTAGCTATGGGGCAAAATCAGGGAAGGACCCTGAAGGACTCTTGAGTTTAGACCCCCCCCCAACGCAAAACTAGTGCCAGCTTGTAGTCACATCATACCTGAAGGAAATCTGCAGTGACACTGAAAAAATGTTTCAGCAAACAATGCTTTACTTTTTACTTCTATATGTTTTTAGAGGTAATTTTGAAATTTATGTGTTTGAATTTTCATTGATTGACTGTTGATTGAATGTTGAATTTTCAATGTTTATAATTTCAGTGTTTGAATTTTAAATGCAAAATCTCACATTTAAAGTCAATGCAAACTGTCATTTATTTAGCTCCTTAGCCATTCAACTTCTTGACGTAATTTGACTAGTCATAAAATAGGAACATTTCTAGATTTTATCTGTCATGATTACACCTAAAAAACATGGAGAAGGAACACAAATCATAAACTAGCATTAAATCCAAACTCACCCTGAATCCGAACTGTTTCCACATATCAGGGCATCGATGGCATTGTGCAGGAAGTAGAAATTTGCTGCAAAAGAACAAAACGGAACGCTCACTTTTAATGATCACTACCTGTTTAATGATTAGACAATGTTTAATTCCTTATTTCATAGAAGCTAGATGATGTAAATGCTGTATTTAATTCATATGTATGTGTTCAGAAATGCCTAGTGAAATTTTAAATAGTAAAGACCAACCGACTGATATCAGACATTCATGCGAGGGTTAGGCTTTAAATTCGGAAATATCTGGATGGATGGATGGATGGATGGATGGATGGATGGATGGATGGATGGATGGATGGATGGATGGATGGATGGATGGATGGATGGATGGATGGATGGATGGATGGATGGATGGATGGATGGATGGATGATGGATGGATGGATGGATGGATGATGGATGGATGGATGGATGGATGGATGGATGATGGATGGATGGATGGATGGATGGATGGATGGATGGATGGAAAAAATGCGGCATTACAGTATGATACATCTTTTTGAAACAACCAGCCGTGTGATAGGAAATTAAAAATTTGGGGAAAAGCTGGTAAATTTTAATGATACTTTTTCATCTTTTTTTTTACTGCATTGACCAAAAAAAAAAAAAAGATTTTCAGAAATTTCAAGACTATGTAGGAATCCTACATAAGCTTCAAAGTGGTAAGAGTTATACTCACATTTGTTCATGATGTATGCATCGAAGTCAAAACCTCGGCTGCCGTTTTCTAGATATTGCTCAGTCATGTTAATGGGCCAGAAGACGCACTTTTGCCTGAGATTTCCCATGAAGAGTTGCAATCCAATAAGCGCAAAGACGCTGAGACAGAAGACGGTCAGGATCATCACATCCGACAGTTTTTTCACGGACTGTATCAGGGCGCCCACAATAGTCTTCAGGCCTGTTCACACACAAACAACACCCACACACATACATACATGCACAAACAGATGTGCAAAAATGCACACATATGAAAACAGCCACCTCACACATGGACACCATTGTCCGTATTCACACAAAAACACAGAGAGAAAAGAGGAGAGTAAGAGAAAAACTAATAAAATATGTCTGGAAAGGCCTTGACCTGAACTTCATAGAAAACTATTGGCTTATCTTTAAAATCAGGGCTTGTATTTTGGAAAGCAACATGTCTAAACTGCAACAAATTCTACCGAATCTCTATCAAATCTGCTGAATGATTTAAATAAACCTCTAAATGACAGTCCAGACTGATCAAAGTGAGTCTTTAGTTGAGTTGTTGCTAGATTACGATCATCCCTGGAGTGACTTTAGAAAAGAACCTGTGATAAAACAGGTCCTTTTAAAAAGCTAACAATGTATGTACATGAACACATGTAGTGTTAGGATCTAGGCTTTCTGATTTCACACTAAATAATCTAAGCTTCTTCTGAATAAAATTCACAGAAAATCTGCCAAACACCACTGAGAATGTTCAGCTAAAAAAAGCTAAATTAAGGCTGCAGCACAAAACATGGGAGTTACAAAATATTGGTTTGCTATACTTCATAGAAAAAAACCTAAAATCATCCCAATTTCCACTAAAGCTCTATGCTGTGTTTCCATCAGAGAAAAGTATAATTTTTAGAATTAGCATAAAGGGATCATCAGAAATAAAGAGTAAAGTAAAAGCAAAATAAAGTATGTTTTAAACAGGAGAAGAAATATTTCTACATTTCCTTTAAATGCATCAACAGAAAAATCCCAAACCAGATTTGGTTAGTATTTGACACATTTAACACATACCATCAAAGTAGCAAAGCAAAAAGTACAAATAGCAGATGCAAGTTTAAGTAGGATAGCAAGAAATGGAGAAGGTAAAGAATAGACATGCACAAACATTTAGCTTTAAACAGCTCTACAGCTGGGGTTAGTGAGAGGAGGCATGCTGGTCATTTAAACGCCAAGGCTGATAAAAATGGCAACCTAAGTAAAAATACTTATAGGCAAGATGATGAAACTATTTAAATCAAATAAGACTGACCTTTACCCACCTTTTTTTTCTCATTCTCAATACACTTTACCCAATATTAATGGATGCTACGACGGCACATTTTCTAAAAAAAATGTTGCCACCCCCTTGCAGACTATTTCAGATTGTATTTTTGTTTTCATACTTAGCGATAAAATGGTCCCAATGTGAAAAAGAAGCCTGATGACTTGTGTTAGGCTTTGTAGCAACAGCTGTCCTTTAAACTAATCATTTGCTTTTCTTTTCTTTTTAAACTGTCCAGTGGATAACATTTAGCTTTTACTCTAGACCTCCAATAGGCCATTCCAAGAATGGTGAGCTTTAGGCTGTTGTCCTGCAGCACAACAAGGTCATAAACTAATGGCCAATCAGGATTTTTGGTAAAGGCTAGAATACATACTTCAAAAACACACCAATCTTGTTGGTGTGATGATTTTCTTTTCTTAAATGCTAGGGGTAAACAGATAAAAACCTCCCAAAACATTCTTGATTATGAATCTCACTGTGGCCTTGGCTTTATTCTCCTCTGTTAATGGGTTTCTTAAGATCAGGATGTAGTGTGATGCTTCCTGCAATCCTTTACATTTTCAGAGAGGTAAAACTTAGTTTTTTTATATCTAAGAGTCAGTGTTGGTGAGGCCTGGTTTTGATAATGAAAAAAATTTTTAATTTAAATTATTTTTTTAATCTTATCAGTTATCTTTGGTATAAATATCTCAGGATCACAAAAAGCATACATAAAAAATCAGAAATAAACACCATCTTTCTACATTTTTAAGGAAATTACTGAAGTCCCTTACTGATGGGTGAATACTTTTTCACAGTTTGCAATGAATGAGTGCGATGTTAGTTTTACGTTACTTTACAGGTAATTATTCCCAGTACCTTAATGTCTGGTTTCTGTGATTTAAAGATTAGTTGATAACATTTGTTTAAAAAAAAAAGCATATGAACAAAGTAAAAGTCTGAAATATTTGGAGGGATTGCATAATATTGTTTATATATCACCTTAGATAAAGGGAACATTACATAAAAATAGGTTTATCTATAACAGGATGAGCTGAAAAATTATTTATCAAATAAATGATACCTAAAACAAATTTGAACAGTATGTTTCAAAGCTTCATGCATTATATTTACGCTTGCAGTCTTACAAGAGTTGATAGTTTGCATGGCAAAATAAAAAATAACTTTGGACATTATTTTTCCTTTTTTTTTTTTTTCCCTAATACATTTTCTCAACTAAAAAATCGGATTTTACTTGTTAAAAGATAATCTTCTAAAACATTGGAAAAATACTGTAAAACAGTAGTTTGGACATTTCCGTTCCACTTCAGAGATCATTTTTATTTTTATTTTTTTACAGTCATGAGGGGAAAAAAGCATGTCTGTTTTAAATTAAAGGGTTTTTCACTCTTATATATGTTTATTGGGTTTTTGAGAGAATAATTATTATTTTAGTTTCAGCAAATAATCCTTTTGTTTGGTTTTGTACGTTTTAGTTTAGATTTACTTTTTCAATCATTAATCAAATAAGTTCAATTCTTATAACTGAGAAAGAGCATACTTTTTTTTTCACCATGACTGTATGTGAGTCCTGAAAAGAATTTTTTCCGTGCACGTGCACCAAAAACACTGCCTGCAGACTGCTCTGCCAATCAAAAATGATTTACAACCATTTTTGATTGCATGGAAATCTATAAGAAAAAAAAAATAAGCCTGAAACACATCCTCTCGTTATGCAGGTAATTGTAGGATCAGCCTTAGTGTTTAAATGGTAGTCTCACCTGGAATGACAGAAATAGTTTTCAATGCTCGGAGAACCCTGAACGTTCTCAGCGCCGAGACATTCCCAAGGTCCACAAACTCTGTTATATATCTGTAACAAGGTAGGATGAGACACAGAACAGAACCCTATGATACACAACACACACGATAACAACACACACGAATGATAGTGCAAGAACATGACACCAGCACCACCATCGAAGACCAGGAGGGGACAGAGGCTGAACGCCTGACTGGCCAGTGAAAGGAGGACGGAGTAGGAAGAGGGAGTGAAACACAACCATGACTAAAATGAAGCCCCGTGGATCGCCCGCCCGGAAGACAAACACCTGCCTTACCTGGGATAACTGAAATAGTTTTCAAAGCCCTCAGAACCCTGAACGTACGTAGTGCTGACACATTGCCTAGGTTTACAAACTCTGTTATATACCTGCAAGGTGGATCAGATAAAGTCACTCAGTAGTTATCCAAGTTAGAGGAAAAAAGTTACAAAGTATGGTAATGAGCATAAATAACATGATAGTTTTGAGTAGTCTGGTTTGAATGCCCTGGAAAACTTCCTTTTAATATAATTTCCTTTGAACTTTTTTCTGTTTATTTTACCTTAAGTCACCAAAAAAAAAAAAAAACAGTTCTACCAGTGTTAACCAATCAAAAGTAACCCTAACAAGGATAGCTTGGCTTTAGGGGCTGGAGTGTTGGTTGGTACCTACAGTATGAACTGTCAGTATTTTCTTTTCATTAGAAAGCAGTCTGAGCGATTTGAGTCCAAAAAACCGTAAGAAGGATTTAATGAACACAGTCAAACTAATAGCTAATGGGAACTGAGCTTCAGGCAGATAAAATTACTTTTATTTACAGCAGGCATAGTCTTTTCTTTGAGAAGGTACAGTGTTGATTCATGCATAAACTTAAATACCGTGTTAATGTACAATGATGCTTCAAGCACACACAAAAGGTTCCTATTTAAAACAGAGGCTGTCGCTAAATATGCCTGAGCTAAACAAGTGGTTGCACAGAAAGAGATTAAAGGAGAAACATTACTCATACACCTCCTAAGGTACCGTCCCTGACAAACCTAATTTTAGGCAGATTTTTTTCTAAGTTTTTTAATAAATATTTTCCTGTGGTGATACTGTGGTTTTGTACAAATCACTGAAAATACAGAACATCACGCCATCTTTACACGCCATGCTCCTTCTTTTCACTCATAAGAAGATGTTGCTTTCTTCAGCAATGATTAGCCTGCATGGTGTGAGCCTGCATGTCTGCCAAAAGTGTTTTTAAGGTTCTTCAGACTCAAATCCTACAGATTACTATGTACAGAGGGTTGAACACTCACTCTCAGTAGTGATCCACACAACACCACTTAAAAAAACTGAAGTATCTTTATTACCAGCTAGGAAATAACCACTGATAACAAAAAATACAAAGAGCATGTTGCTGTGTAAATATGGAAACTGATACAGCCACAACTTCAACTGTAAAAATAGTATTAATTTGATCAAAGATACAACTTTAGAAATGTAGGGACATATACTAACTACAATATATTGAAGCCCAAGTTCAACTGTTTGCCTGAAAAGAAAGTTTTTTTACACCATTAACAAAAAATAAAGGTTTTGCAGAGGGCTAGTCAAAGTCCTGACTTAAATACAATAGAGAGGTATTGTTAAGGGCTAAATAAAAGCACTCATTTGGACTTGAAGGCAATTGTTCCCTCAAAGGGTGGGAAAACCACTCACTAGGTTAAGTAGTTGGTTACTTTTTCATACAGGGCGAAGGGTTGCATAGTTTTGTTTTCTTAAAAAATAAATGATAATTTAAAAACTACATTTTGCATTGGCTCAGATCTGTTCATTCTCAAACCTTTTGAACTTCTACATATATTGTTAATTTAGAACCTCTAACTTAGGATCTCAGAGGGTTTCTATGATAGATAGAGATGCACAGATTCAGTTTTTTCCTCAATCCAATCCCATAATGGTACCTGGGCTGAACATATCGGCCAATATCTGATATCAATCCGAATCAAAAAGGCTTTAGCTTTGACCTAAACATTGTAAAAAAAAAAACAAATTAGCCCAGGTATAAATATACTTTAGATTATTTATTAACCAATAAGCACAAAAAAGAAAGAAATAACGTTTACATGTAAGTTGCACTGGATTGGATCTCTTATATGTGATCCAGCTAATTAGTCAATATCTGAGCCGATATCCGATCAAGGTATCGGATCAGTGCATCTCGAATGACCGACCCACAGAAGGTAACACATAATTGTAGACTGGAATAACAATTAATCCAGGGTTCTCACAATTTCAAAATAAAGGCAGTCTGACTGACAGACCTCTGATTGCCTTCAGAAGTCTGTCAGTCAGAGTGCCTTTATCTAGATGTTCTAAGAAAGCCTCAGAGTAGTTGTTTGTTAGAGAACATAATAGAACTAAAGAAGAAGACCAAGGGATATTGATTCTTTACAAGACACTTCATTTTGGGCTGAAGTTACAGGTATTTTTATTAATATGCCTGCTCTGTAATCCATTTTGACTTGTCATTGACATAAAAATGCAAGTGTTATAAAGCTACTTTACAACAGCAACAAACTTGAGGACATTTGCCTGGTCATGCTTCCAGTTATACTTTTAATAAGGACGTTTTAACATAAAATAATGTCTTTATTTTGTAAATGTGCTGCAAAGTTATACCTGAAGCAGATAACTGATAATTCATATTATTTTCATGTATTTGTTTATACCATTTATGTGTTTTATCTAAATAATATAATACACATTTTTTCGCAGGTATTTAGAATATTATTATTTATGATGTTAACATATACTTACGCCATTGAAATGACCATGAAGTCCAGCCAGTTCCATGGGTCTCTGAGAAACGTGAAGCCATCGATGGCAAAACCTCGGGCAACAATTTTGGTAAGTGACTCAAAGGTGTAGATACCTGTGAAGGTGTACCTATAAAAGAAGACAAATTAGAGTGTGGAGCAGTTGGCGGGATTATTATATATGTAAAGATTCAGAGAAGAATTTAGAGACATGTAAATACATATATATATATATATATATATATACTCACTCTACTTGTTTGGACCACTCTGGTGGATCACTAAATGTCATGAATATACAGTTGGTCAAAATGGTACACATAATGATCATGCTGAATAATGTGGAAACACAATTGTCAAGGAAAACTTTGAGACACCTTAAATCATTAAACAACAAAATCTGAAATTATCAACTAAAGGTCGAGTTAAAGGAAATTGCTCATCCCAAAATAAAATATTTCATTAGGAACTCTTCGGAAGAATGTTTCATCTAAGATACTTTACCTCTATTTGCTTTGTTTTCGTTTTTTTTTTTTTATTTAGTGTCTAGCAACTAAACATATAAAACTTGAAAGGATATGAATGTATCAAAATCTTTATGGCTATTCGCCTTAGTGGATTAAAAGGGCTTATGATGTACAAGGAGGGTGTGGCACTGAAGCGGAAGATTGTTTTCCCCTTGTTTAGGACTATAAATGTCTGTGAAGAGAAGAGAGAAAGAGAAGAGTTAAACGGTGGAAGTATACATCTCATATATGTCCCTGAAACTTTTCGGATGCTTTGCTTTAAGACCTGACCACATTTGAGGGTTTTGAGTAAGAGCAGCCTGTCTGAGGTCACGCTGGAGCATCCTAATTGTATCTCAGGTTTTAACTAGGGCAATTCCAGAAGCTTTTATTTTTTGAGCCATTCAGAGATTTCTCAAAAAAAAAAAAGAAAAAAAAAAAGATTGATTTGCTGCTGTTTTTTGGATCAATGATCTGCGTCATCAAGCAACAAACTAAAGGTCGGAAATTGGATTCAAGATTTTCTGGAAGAGAGCAGAATTCAGGATTACGTCAATTACAGCAAGCTGTCCAGGTGCTGACGCAGCCCCAGACTATCCCGCCATAATCACCATTGATGTAGTGTGTGTAGGATTATCTTTTGCTGTATGCTGTCAGTTTTATATACATAGGTGCAGTTCAACTTCTGTCTCAGTAGTCCCCATAACATTTTACACACAGCCTTTGGACCATCAAGATGTTTTGGGAATTGTGAGATGAGTCATTTATTTTTTATTGACAAAGGAAATTATGACTTGAAAAAAGGCTTTTTATGTTTGCCTGATTTGGACATTTGTTTGACGATCAGTAACATCTCGCTGTTACAAAAACAAACTAAATCTTTAAATGCAGGGGATGCTTTTTTACAAAAGCATCCCCTGCTTCTTCGGTGTTACCGAGGAAGCCTAACTGACATCACTTCCTCTGTGACCAGCTGTCAAAGAAAACCCATCAGTCCCAGCAGGACCTGACAGAACTGTGACAGAAGACGTGAGCTTTCTTTCAAGCCCAGGACAAGCAGACAGCCACATGCAGAGCTCTCTTGCTGCTATGTGGCTGAATAACTCTCTTCATACTAGGTTTAAAGCTCTTACTGGAAAGTAACAGCAAAACTCTGTCATCGATCAGGGCAGATCTGCTGACTCGGAGCATGCAGCAACCACTCCCTGCCCATAAACAGCAATGGGCCAAGTGCTGCTGGATGAGGCAGTAGCCTCTGTCTGTTTCTGTGTACTCATGTGTGGGGTCTGTGGATGCCTGTGCCAAAATCCTGGGCAAAAGGCACATGAGCTTGGCATTATGGACATGAGCATAACTTTCAACCGGATCACAGAGGTGCTGCACGTTATTTCCAGGCATCACAGCTTAGAGCAGTTTCATAATTTTTATCAATGTGAAGCATAGCATGTGCATAATAAGAGGCTCTTCTTTGTTTTTCACAATAAAAGACTGAGGACATCAATGCCAGTGATTTATACTGTAGATGATAAATTATGTATTTGTGATTAGGAGGACAATTATATAAAAATCTGATAATTATAAAATTAAAATCAAGAAAGAAAACTCCAATCCCATCTGTTTTATGATGTAAGGCACAGCCTGACACTGCCACCACCATGTATTAGAGCGGGGATGGTTTAAAACAGGGGTCTGCAACCTTTCATATTCAAAGAGCCGTTTTGACCAGAGTTCGACCAAGTAAAAGTTGTTTAGAGCCGCAAAATATAACATTTCTTTTACTAGAAAACCTTTTTTTCTTTTAATCTTATATAGGAAATTAGTTGTTGCCATCTCAAACAATCAAAAATTCATTTATTTTTAATGTTAAAAAATATAATTTACAAGCTAATTAGGGATGCACGATATTGGGATTTTGGCTGATATCCGATATTTTAAAACTCATGTAGCCGATAACCGATATCGATACCGATGTTAAAGCTGGACAAAAATAAGTAGTCATTGAAAATAGCAGTTTTTTTATCCATTTCTGACACTTTGAAAAATAATATACTCAAATATATTTTCATATGCTGATATCAAATTGATTTTTAAAAACGCGGTATCGATCTATTTTACTTTCAAAATCTCGTGAAATTTCATCGTTCTGTTACAAACTCTCGTGATATTTTGCAAATTCTTGTGAGATTTTGTTAGTAAAATAGATCGATACCGCGTCAATATATCAACATATAAAAATATGGCAATATTTCGTGGATTTTCGGGGGATTTCGTAGCATAACAATGACATATAGCAATATTTCATTAGTAAAAGAGATTGATATGGTGTTTTTAAATGGCAATATATCAGCATGTGAAGATATTGGGATATTTTAATGTATCAATATTTTTCCCTCGTCTTTACACTGGAAAAACGATCTAGAAATAAGTAAAACTTTCTTAAATTAAATGTATTTACCCTTGATTTGAGTAGGTAAATGAGATAGTTTGCCAATGGAATGATTATTTTTACTCTTAAAATAAGGTAATTAGATAATATTCACTTGAAATAAGAGAATGCAAATGTGTTTTCTTATTTTAAATCTAAATTGTCTTGTTTCATTGGCAAGATGTCTCTTTTATCTCCTCAATTCAAGAACAAATGCACTTATTTTAAGAAAAAAATTACTTATCAAGATTTAGTTTTTTGCAGTGTAGAAGTTTTTAAGTCTGTAAAAAAGAAGTTTTTGAGGAAGAAGAAGAAGTAGCATTTTATTTTAATTTTTTTTAGACTTTAGAAACTCAGAAGCTGATCAAATATCGGGTTAAATATCGGTGGGGTGGCCGATGTCCGATATTCAGTTTTAAGGCCGATACCGATAGGGGGCCAATTATATCGTGCATCCCTACTTAAAACATATTTCTGGTTCTTTTAATCTCATTCTTTTCCATCTTATAAAAAACACTAAAGCTATTGATACCGGTATATATTAAAGTAAATTATTTAGTTCTTTATATACATTTTAGCCACTATTAAGAGCTGCTGGAGAGGGTCCAAAGAGCCATATGTGGCTCTGGAGCTGCAGGTTGCAGACCCCTGGTTTAAAAGATGGGTAATGGTTAGTCTTCGTTTTTCAATATAAATGGCCTTTTGATTGGACACATTTGCATGTCTACTTCATACTTTGCCAGCTTTGCATGTATTTTCTAGTGGTTTTTCTTTCAACAGTCAAAAATAAAATTTCTTCTTAACCTCTATATTTTGAAGTAATCCTTGCCTATTTTGCATGGAAAGGCAAATAACTTAGGAACTGTAAGTCCAAATTACATGTGTGATACATTTTTTGAAAGCTAACACTTTCTAGTTTCTGAATATATATTATAGAAAATAATAGGTCTTTTTTGAGCAGCAGTAATGAAGACATGATTGAGATGCATGTCTCATTGTATTACATTTGTTCTACATCATGTCAACCACAAATGCAAAACATGTCAGACCTCTAGCTACAAGAGTTCCAGAGCTGTAGGGTTTTGAACTTTTGGTGTCACCAGTGTCTCCAAATCTCCCTACAAATGTGCCAAATGCTTTTACTATGCTTGGCTTTACTATTTGACCCATAGAATAACACTGAAGCATTTTGAGGGCCACAAAACATTTATGAAGCATGTATTTTCCACTTTTTTCCCCCCGAATTAGTGTCTATAACAAAAAGTAACATTTATAAATGTATAATAACATAAAAAAAAAACTATAAAAAAATAGTGAAACTGTTGCTTTTTAAGTTCAAATAAGCCCCAGTGCCTTTTCTGAGCTGCATTTTTTCAGCCTTAGGCATTGTAATAAAACAAAATCAGCATCCAACCTTCAAAAACATAGGACCGTTATTATTATTCACCTTCGGGCTGCTCACATTGATCCGCTCTCAGCTGTGTCTTTCACTGTTACTCAAGCCGGAAACATGGCTCTGCTTTATGCAACCCGGGCATTTCTAGTCTTGTTTTAAACCTTAATTCATTGGCTACAAGGCCAAACAGCCCACATGCTCTTAACCAATAACAGCAGGACTTTATGATGCATAATATCCCTCTACTCGGTGCGTCATTGGCTGACAGGCAAGGAGCACTTGTGAGACTTAAGCGACTGTCCCTGACTCAAATCGAGTCATATAAAGATGCAGACACTTTTGTCATGTAGGTTAGAAGACGATGTAAACATCATGGGAAAACAACTGAGGAAATAAGTATTAGGAAGTAAATTGAAGATTGGATTTATAAAGCGGCTTCTGGATGCCTTCAAAAGTATATTGTTGTTGCTGCTTTATCATGTTTACAGTTTGACATGCTGCTATATCTCTGTAAATTGTGCTTTGGTGCTTGCTGTGTCCATACAATGGACTTGATGGTTGAAGTGTGGAGAATCTAAGCTTTCCAAAGATGTCTAACATGTCTATATCGGTAAACTTTTTACCGTTGTAATTTTCATGCGTTCATGATCGGCAATCACTTAAATGTGTGGTGAGATCAAATTGAAGAAAAACAACAGTAGAACTCAGGGCTATGTTTAATACTGAAAGAGCATTTCTACACGCACAATATGAAGGGAACTCAAGGGATTGGGACTGAACAGCTGTGTAGCCGTAAGAAAACTACTAATCAGTGAGGCTAACGGGAAAAAAAGGCCTCATTGCTAGGGAGCATAAAGATTGGACTGTGGAGCAATGGAAGAAGGTCATGTGGTCTGATGAGTCCTGATTTACCCTGTTCCAGAGTGATGGGCGAGTCAGGGTAAGAGGAGAGGCAGGTGAAGTGATGCACCCACCATGCCTAGTGCCTACTGTACAAGCCTGTGGGGGCGGTGTTATGATCTGGGGTTGCTGCAGTTGGTCAGGTCTAGGTTCAGCAACAGTATGTGCTCAAAGAATGAGATCAACTGACTACCTGAAAATACTGATTGACCAGGTTATTCCATCAATGGACTTTTTATTCCCTGATGGCACAGGCATATTCCAAGATGACAATGCCAGGATTCATCTGGCTCAAATTGTGAAAGACTGGTTAAGGGAGCATGACACATCATTTTCACACATGGATTGGCCACCACAGAGTCCAGACCTCAACCCCATTGAGAATCTTTGGGATGTGCTAGAGAGGGCTTTGCGCAGCGGTCAGACTCTACCATCATCAATGCAAGATCTTGGCGAAAAATTAATGCAACAC